GTCTCGCGTGATCTATTTATTGCAAACCAGTTAGTTGCTGGCGGTAAATTGAATAGAATATGTTAAACCGACCTATAACACTCCAAAGTTCGGTGTCATCGTGGGCATTGCGAGGGTCCAAGTTGTCACGCAAAGTGCCTTCGAACATGGCCGGGTCTTGAGGGATGATGGCGAGACGCCCACGAAGATCGGTCAACCCAATTGTAGACACATCAAGTCCATCAATACTAAATTTTTGTTAGCTTGAAAAGCGCAAAGGCAAATGATGGCATATGTCCTTACCTGATACTTCCTTCAACACCCTCAATAATCCGGAAGAGAGCCAGCGTGAGCGAACTCTTTCCGGCACCTGTTCGGCCAACAACACCGATCTTCTCCTTGGGCTTGATGTTGAGACATATATCCTTAAGCACGAGGTCAAGCCCGGGTCGATAGCGGGTGCTGTAGTGCTTGAACTCCACCGCACCTTGAGCCGGCCAGCCGATGGCAGGGCGGCGCTTGAAGATCACATCGGGTGCCTCACTCGGAAGATTGGCATACTCGAGAACTCGCTCAACGGACACGATATTAGTCTCAACTTCGACGGTCTGGCGGACAATCCAGTTCAGGGACTGTGTGATTTGGAGAGCATATGACATGGCCAAACCGACTATGCCCGGCGAAATTTTACTGCCAGTTGCAACGGACATAATCGCAAGTCCCGCGGATGCGAGAATGATGATTGAACCAATGAACTCAAGTCGAACGGCGAGCCATCGATTGGCACTGATGGATGGGAAGTAAGCCCGGAGGTTAGCATCCATGCGCCATTCGTTCTCAAGGGCGAATCGATCCTGCTGTCGGTAGGCACGAATGGTCGAGATGCCGCCCAGAGATTCCTGGAAATGAGCGAAGATCGGGCTTCGGGTAACGCTGTCAAGACGTTTCAACTCGCGGGAGGTACTCAGATAGTACTTCTGGTAGCTAAGGTATATATAACCCAAAGGAATGACGAACAGCAAGAAAGCCGGGGTAGCTGCCGAGATGACAATCATGGTAAACACCGCACGGGCAGAGTTCGCGAATAGCATGTTGAAAGTACGAGCAAGTACCTCATCGACTCTGTAAATGTCACTAGAGAAACGATTGAGGATGCGGCCAGATGGTGTTGTTTCAAAGAAGCTCATGGGGGAGCGGAAGATAGCAAATGCCATCCGTTCATGGAGTTTCCGAGATGCTTCGATAGAGCAGAAAATCCACAGGATCAAGTTCTGCACAATGACCAAGAGAGATGATCCCAGGCCAAGCGCCAAGTAGACACCGATGAACTTGCCAACTTGAGCATTGGTTCCATGGGCTTCGTTCCACTCAGTCCAGCGCTTCAACCAGAAGTTGCCCACCACTTGAGCAGTCTGAGCAGCCATCATGGCAATCAAATAAACCACGACTGCCATGATATTGCTATCCTTGGCGTATTGAGCGTAAACACCCCATTTCACCTTTCCTTGCTCTGAAACTTCTTGCGTCTGCTTGCTTTTGAGAACGTTCTCCTCGTCTCCCAACTTGCGGCGGGGGCCTTGCCAGCTCACAGTGCTTGCACGGCGCAACGTGACGGTACTAGTCCGTCTACGGGCCTCACCTCCTGCCCTAATTGGAATAAGGTCACCAAGTTGTTCCGCCTCCTCGCTATCCGATGCATTGCCGTTTTGGATGATGGCCGTTGTGACTGAGCTTTCGGGGCTAGCAAGATCTTCAGACCCACTGGCAGTACCTTCATCGTCCGAGTCAACCATCGTAGAGCGAACGAGATTGGAAATTTCCCCCTTCATGGCCATTAGTTGTTCATAAGTTCCTTTTTCGATGATGGTCTTATCCCGCAGCAGGCCAATGAAGTCAGCCTCCTTCAATACAGTGATTGCGTTTGTTGCAAGGATTCTGGTTTTGCCACCGAGGAGACCAGTTTTGCCGAGCACTCTGTTAATGATGTGACGTCCAACATGCTGATCAACGGCTGACAAGATGTCGTCCAGGAGATAGATATCAGCACGGGCATATACAGCTCTGGCGAGAGTCAACCGTGCCTTTTGTCCCCCTGAAAGAGAAATACCACGTTCTCCGACTTCAGTCTGGTCACCATCAGGTAAGTTCTTGAAGTCATCGAGCAAAGCACAGGCTTCAACGGTAAGGTCATAAAATGAGGGATCCCATCGGTGTCCAAAGACAATATTTTCTCGGACACTGGCATTCATAACCCACGGCGCTTGGGCGACGTACGCGATCCGACCACGTACGATCACCTCTCCCTGGTTCTTCCACAGATCACCCAGCAATGACTGGAGGAAAGATGATTTTCCAGCGCCAACGCGGCCAACAATACAGCTGAGCTCGCCCTTGCGTGCGCTAAAATCGATGTTTTCCAGCACACTCTGCCCACTATGACGATTCCAGGTAAATGAGGCATCGCGAACACGGACAGATTCGTCACCGGAATGCGCCACGGGATCTTGGAAAATAACTGCATCGGTCTGCAGCTCCTCCGCGGTGAAATAATCTATCAATCGCTTCACAGCCACGGAGGATTCGATAATGGACGTAATGACCATAGGCAAGATAGAAAGCGGGAATGTGAGCAAATTGAACAACGTCAACGCAGGGAACACAATCTCAGTGGTCAATGGCTTATCATTCGTCAACACAAAGACAGTGAATGTAGAGCAAGACACGAGGAAAGGGGTGGACTGCCAGGTGAAGTTGGCAACGGACTGAGTGGCTCCAATTTTGCGGAGCGTATTCAGCTCGAGATCGTTTCTGATGTGGCTGAGTTTGTTCATGAAAGCTGTGTTCCAGGCGTAGAGCTTGATACTCTTGATATTATTCAGAATCTCAGTCATCAATCGGGTCCTCGAGTCCTTGTTCTTCATTTGGATGATCTGTAACTTCTTCATCATTCGAGCAATGACACCATTCAGGGGAATCATGAGAATCATGACTCCAATACCGGCAAACATGCTCGGGCCAAGAAGTTGGTAAAGGGAGACCATGCACAGAGTAATTTGGAAAGGCGCAGAGATAAGCTGAGTACCGAACTGGGTCAAATCTGCAAGGCGCTGCTGATCAACTGCCATGTGGTTGACAATATCACCGGTGGTCTTTTCCGAGCGCCCTTCATTTGATAATTTCAGAGACTTGGCATAAATCATAGCAGTCAACGCTGATTTGACTCTCATGCCAGTGTCGAAAGCGCGCTGGAAATATTGATGGAGGAAACTCGTCTGGCAGACAGAAACAACAAACATGGCCAAGGCGATGGCGACACCCCTGATAACAGGCTGCGGGTCCGGGCTTCGATACGACTCAATGAAGGCAATGAGAAGTCGTAGGAGTTGTGGTTGCACAAAGGCAAGAACATCGCTTCCGGATTTGATTATCGCACCACGCACATAGGGTGCGCCGAAAGCCTTGAAGAGTGCTGTCCACAAAGACGGCTCCTTTTTCTTGAGCTGTTCATCCCATGCCTCCTGCAGGGCATTGCCCGTGGCTCTGGTGGTATCGCGACTGCGGAGATTCCAGAGGTCATCTTGAGTCAAGTAGTTCTTATATCCATATTTCATCATCGGTGTCATCCAACCAAAGGTAAGAACCGAGAAAACATCGGCATAATTGTAGGGGCACTCATCCTCATCTCCCAGCGCATCGTATGCGCTTTGCTTCTTGGGTACGAAATATTCAAGCACAAATTCAAAGAGTGCCAGTCCCAAGCTAACATTGAAGCAGACAAAGTAAGGGAGTTGGTCGATGTATTCTTTGCGCGCAATCAGGGACCGGAGTTTGACCGCGTAGGCGATGATGAAGAAAAGCCAGTAAAATAGGACGACCCCATTGGGCTGTCTACTCCGCCAATGTTCAAAATATTGCACTGAAGTTATCACCCCCAGCGAGATGATGGTCAGGATGGAGGACCAGAAGCGAAAATCGGCCCAGAAGATTTTGGGTTCTGATTCGACTTGAATCGCAGCTTGAAGGGCGGTAACAATGATGAGAGCGGCAAGAACAGCCTAGGATGACAAAAACACCAGTCAGTAAATTAACGTCCACAAGTGTGCGCGCGTGTCCGATATGTACTAACCAACTTGGTGTAGAAGTGCCAATTCTTCGATACGGGCTGCGGAACCCGCTTCCACAATAATAACCACAACGCTGCTAGTCCACTCAGTGTACCCCAAACTGCCACTATCGCCACAATCACGTCAAGAAAGCATGGTGTCAGGTCGAATCTCGATGAGCTGAGCGGGCCCCAGCCCTCGCTATCTGTGCAGAAAGGCTGTCGCCGCGAATCAAGTGCCGATCCAAGGGAATGCAAGAGATGCCCCGGGCGGGACGCCTCTAGGACCGCCTGGGATTGGCCATCCAGCATTTTTTTTCTTAGTGGCTCGGTATGCCTTTCTATGCACAAGCAAGAAAAGATACGAAGTTGGAGAACTAGAAGAAAACGGGGGTGTTGGTCCAAGCTAGGCTGCTTACAAAAGCAAGAACGGGCAGCGCTCCACTTCAGAATGGGGAAAATCGGGGCTGGTTACCGTGCGCATTAGAGCCTATGGAGTCGAACTCATGGATTACACCGTAATGTACACATGCAGGGTTCTCTGGAGTCCTTGTATGAAACTTGCGTAACATAAAATTGACTACTCCGTATATCTTCCTAGACGCTTCATTCCTGGATACAAATTTTGCAGACCTCACACGTGACCTGGAATGATGTAATCCTCGGGGATAAGCGCACTAATACCGATGCGGCTATTTCGGCTTATCGGGGTTGTCTTCCAACTTAGGAAGGTGTGATGGCTTCAAAGGACTGTTTACAGCATATAAAGCTGGTCGCTAATTCAAATCATCAAAATTGATGTGTTTATTGTATATTTTATATTAATGGTTTCGTATCCTTTCTTCGACAAATAACCAATTTTTCGAAACATGATAGCACAATATATTTCCTCATTGATGCTATATCAAAACTGCAGAATTCAAGCTTTTTTTAGGGTAAATTCCCCAATGACCTTTGTTATCTCTTCATTCCCCGAGGTAAGTGCATACTCAGCTGCACTGCCCCAGTTCCCTTTTATATATGGATCTGCTCCATGCTCCAACAACCACTTGACCCGCTCAACTGCTCCTGCCATCGCCGCATATACAATCGCATACTGCGCGACCATGTGTCGTGACTCTTCTCTCTGATTTACATCAGCCCCGCGACCGACTAGTAGTGCCATCACTGGAATTCTGCTAGTATCAAATTCACGGCTTGGTACCACTTTCCCAGCATGTGGATTCGTACCGGGAGGACAAGCCCCGGCGGCGTAGTGTAGTGGTACACCGTTTTGGATGTTAGCACCCGCATCTAAAATCATACGCACAGCCTCAACTCCTCCAGTAGCTGCAGCTGCCTCAAGTGCAGCACACGAGGAAGTATCTGGCCCACCACACCTGTCATGGGTGGTCTGCTGCACCCCAAGGTTGGGATTGGCTCCGTGGTCGAGGAACCAACGAAGAAGAGGGGTGTTCTTGATAATTCGAGGGAGCAGGACACTACCATAGTAGCCTGGTGTATTGGGAGTCCAATTATACTGGGTAAAGAGCTCAAAGAGGGCAATTTGCTGTTCCAAAGGTACAAAGAAGATATTGCTTGGAGTTTCGCGAACTATTGGTGCGCCACTATCTAGGAGATAGCGAGCAATCTCAATATTTCCGGAGCGTAGAGCACGTGTAAGACCATGATGGAGAAAAGCAGGTGTGAGGTTCTTGGATGAGACAATGGACTGAATGGTGGAGAGGGTGCCGTGCTGGCAGGCGGATTCAAAAGATCCGAAGAAGGCGGGAACTAGACCAGTCGACTTAGGATCTTCAGAAATAAAGATAACATCAGTGGGCTCCAGTATGGGTAGGTCATCATATTTGGACCCCATTGTCCCTGATCGAGGCTGCATTTGCTGCTGTAGAGGATTGCCACTGTTGCAGCCGGTGCTTGGTTGTTGCTTAGCAGCCATCATCTGCATCTGACATTGGCGTGCATTTAGCATTAGCTGCTGTTGACGCTGTTGTTTTGAAGACATGTTTCCCACAGAGATGGTAAATTCTCGTTTCTGTATATTGGGTTTTGTCTAAGATGAGAGCTTGACGAGGGCGGCTGTTTGCCAAAGAGACGCATGGGCCTTGTGATGTTAGTCATGTGATGAACGGGTTTGAATATGCGTCGAGACTCGAGACAAACATCAAGCGGCTAACTAGGCGATGTACGTGTCTTGAGAATTAACACACTAATAGGCGCTGCTCAATTCAAGCTTCAGTCTAAATCAATTGACCCTATTACACTAAATTCGCAGTCAGTTGATGAATATACTTGTCAGCATTATTCTACTCCGTATTCGAGGTTATCCTTAGGACCAAGATCTTACCAGGAAGACAGGCCTACGAATTAGACAGAAACCCTTCTTTCTTGATTCAAATAATACACCCTTAAATTAGATGAACTGTTTATAACCCAAAGTGTAAAGCCTATTAGCCTCTAAGTGATAGGAAGTGGGTGCTTTATGACAATGATCACAATCCTATTGTATGTAAGCCCAAGCAAACAAACTTTATTGTCATTGTCTTCAATAGGAACTCTGCATATAGCTCTTTCAATATAATAGCGTAGTCCCCAGATAATTACCACCTTGGGTATCAGTGACATGAGATGCACACCTTTCTCTACTCTGCCACTCCTTCTGTCAGAACCGAAGATATTCAATGCAAAAATTCACATTGCTCGAAAAGTAATAGCAAAACCATTGCTTCATTATCGAGTGAGATCTCATCAGCAAGTACCAACACTGGGAATATTGCTTCCGCCACAATACCACTACCCACCTAGCCTGGGTAGCAAGTCCACAGATTTCTCTGTCTTAGCTTTACGATATTGCTGCAGTCGAGGAATGCTATACACCACTACGGTGGGTGAGAAACATCCTCTATCAAAAACTCAGATGCAGCAATATCGTCCCGCCTGGACGTGCCGTTGGAGTTCGTTTCAGATGGCATCGATACGGATGATGCTCAAACCATTAGCTTCTGACACCAATTCCACTGTTTCAACAACAACCTGCTTACCTTCAACTACCGCTACCACTATTGAATACTCTGTCGCTGGGTCAGCAACCACATTTTCCAGTACCTCGACAAGTGATACTCCAGTATTATGCCCTCCCGATACTTGCGAAAAGTTGAGCTCTATGAGAACAAGCCTTCTGGGTAGTGCTAGCATGGGAGTGGCGGCCATGATTGAGCATTATGAGTCGATCCCAACGGATATTACCACTATTCTACCAGCCGAGGGTTGTGAGATTGCTACAACTAGTGGAGCTGCAAGTCCGACACGGCCTGTCTCCAAGACAACTCTCTCTAGCAGCCAAGATGAGAAAATGATGATCAGTTCGTTGATTGCATATGCTTCCCAGGACGCTTCTCCTCCTTACAGCAGCTATGTCAAGAGCTTGGCGCCAATTTGGATTGACCAGCCTGGACCAGTGTCTGCACAATGGTTTAACTATCCATCAATTGGTCACTCGGCTGTAGGAGTAAAGGGCATTTACGGATGTACAGTGGTGATTATAGCATCCGAAAAGGGTGTGTACCTTTCGCACATTTGGGAAAGCCCTGTGTTCGTTGACCTAGCTTTCAATCCAACCGACGACGACTCGTTCACGATGAATGCATCCAAGTCCCTCCGAGATGGGACATTATATGCACAATCTATAACTGCTCTGATTGGGACCGACCATAACCCCGGCGTCTTGAATGCAATCTACGCGCCCAAAGTCTTCGTCCTCACACCCTTCACTACAGATTGGGACCGACAGTACTTTGGCATTTCCACCAAATTCAGATATCAAAAACGTGCCCAAGAGCTCGCACAAAAGATAGCAAATATTGTTCCTGGTTCCGGTGGGAATGGAATAATCTTGGGCTATACACGTACGAGTCGACAGGCATCAAGCCAGGAGCAAGGTATTGCAGGAAGAACTATCTTGGAGATAGACCCTTCTTACACAAGACTCACTTCAATCCACGACTCGAGTTCTGCGGGCCTGCAAATTGGTCGTTGGCGTCTGTGGGTAGAGGATCAGTTGATTACTTATCAAGACTTTTGGCTTCCTCATATCACAGCTCCTAGGGACACTTCCCGATATGCCATTGGCCAAGAGACGTTGGTCATGCCAACCCGTGTAGGAGCTACCCTTAGGTATTGCTGATGTTATCCATGGGTTTCCAGTGCCTAGATTATGACTTCGCCACACCTCCAATTTCAATCCGCTTTCCACGTTGCATCTTGAGGTCTCCGTTTAGACTACTATCACCGGAGACTCACCTTTCTTATTACCCGGCCCTGGTAACTCTGGTATTCAAGGAGTGTGACTAGTTTCCGAGACTTACTGAAGTGAAGTGAAGCTTGGGTATCTTCACCTCACACCATTCTCGCCATAGGGGGTCTCAAGGGCGCCCCCCATTCATAGGATTGGCCAATCTGCGCATTGACCCAACACCCATGTTCTTGAAGCATGAAATTCAAGAGATATGCAATATCCGCTGCATCCTTTAGCTCTAGGCGAGAATAGTGGATTGCCCGTCCGCCCTTGTCAACAAACACCACAAGAACCTTCCCTGTGTCGGGGCCCTCGGAAGCAAGCGCTGTTTTATCAACGATGTGGATGCGGTTTATGATTAGCTGTATGTGGTAGTCTGGATAAAACAGGGGCCAAGGGTTTTCGTTGGCTATCAGTCGATAGCGACGAGTCATCTTGCCATTTTCCCTTGAATGTTGTTAAAATATGGATGTACCATAACACGCAGAGAGAATTTACCAAAAGGAACAAATCGACCTGCAAAGCATGTAAGTCGGACATCCTACAGAACAGGCAAAAAAACGGTGATGGACTGAATTTGTGTACTAATAAGGCTAATAGGCCATTGATCGAGGTGATTCTGAAACGGCATTCGAAAATCACGTGATGACGACAGGTACTAGAAAAGAAAAGATTGCATAACATAGATTGAGATAGGGTTAGGGAAAAGAATCAGAATCATCGGCATAATCATGCCCTACAAAGGTATCAAACATAATACCGAGGATATGACTATGTCCATGGGTTTGATTTCCTAATCGGGAGGCCGACTCGTTAATATCTGCGAGCACAGCCCACAAGCCTGGAATTAATATGGAAAATGAACGCTCTCAGGGACCTAAATGAGGCTGAGCAAAGCTCCACAACATGACTCAAAATTATTGCAGATCCAGCATCTTTTCATAAAAGCGAGCGAAGCGCATAGAGTCCACATAGTACTGCATTGCTCCTAGGCGGTAAGAGCCCACTTAACAGCGTCATTGGAGGGGCACCACGATCTCAATACACATTCTTCGTCCAGCCCATCATGGTCGATACGACTCAAATGGAGGAGCTCCTGAAAAGGCCTCTTTATGGTACGCCTCCGAAGCCCTATATGGTCGTTGATTCATTTCGCTGATCTTTCCAGTCTACGATCTGCCGCCAGAACTTCTTGCAAGCTTAACGGCCAAGACCAGTCAACCTGTCGCCGAACAAGAACCCGAACCCTCTCCGATAGACCTCGAACTAGCTGCACAGGACTCTGCGATCGCAACCTCCAACCTATGCTCCCTCTGCAGGGTCTCTTACAACAGTGTACAGGAACAGCGCAGCCATGTCCGCTCGGACCATCACCGGTATAACATCAAAGCCCAGCTGCGCGGGAATGCGCCTCTGGAAGAGATCGAATTCGCGAAGGCGATTGGAGAGTTAGATGAGTCTATATCTGGTTCTGAGTCTTCGGAGACAGAGGAGGATGATGCAGAGGGGGCCGCGGGCACAACGCTGTCCGCCTTGCTGAAGAAGCAGGCCAAGCTGTCTCACCCGAACGAGGATCCGGAAGCGACTGAGACACCAATCGCTCCAAAGCACCCCATATTCTGGCTGTCTAGCTCGGGATTACCATCAAACAAGTCCCTAGGCGTCTACAGGGCCATTTTCTCAAATGCCGAGCAGGACGAGCCCGCTCACCTGGTTGATACACTCCGACGGAAGCAGCTTGCGCCAGTCAAAGCGCGCACCAATAAGGCAAGTAACGTCCAAGACCCCGCTGCTTCGGGCCCGCATATTTTCATGTGCATGATCGGCGGTGGCCACTTCGCGGCTATGTTGGTTTCGCTGGCACCGGAGATTCACCGAAAGCAAGGAGGAGTTGAAGACAGGCAGGCTCGGGTTATTGCGCACAAAACGTTCCACCGATACACGACACGGCGAAAGCAGGGTGGCTCACAGTCTGCCAGTGACGCGTCGGGTCGTGCTGCCCATTCGGCAGGTTCAAGTCTGCGCCGGTACAACGAGGCTGCACTTGAGAAGGATATCAGAGATGTGTTGTCGGAGTGGAAAGATATGATTGACACAGCCGAGCTGTTGTTCGTCCGAGCTACCGGAAAGACAAATCGCAAGACTCTTTTCGGTCAATATGACGGACAGGTCCTCAGGCAGAACGACCCCCGATTACGAGGGTTCCCGTTCAATACTCGCCGTGCGACTCAAGGGGAACTTATGCGGTCCTTCAAGGAGTTGACCAGAATGAAGGTCAGCGAGGTGGACGAAGCCGCACTGGCTGCGGCTGAAGCCAAGCGGCGAGAGCAGGAGTCAAAATCATCTACACACGTCCAAAAACCGCAACCACAGAAGCCGAAGCTCTCGAAAGAAGAGGAAGCTGCCTTGTTGCACACATCCCAACTGCAGGCGCTCATTCGCCGCTCAAAGGTTCCCGCCCTCATGTCCTATATCTCAAACAACTCTATACCTTCTTCTTTCACCTTTACGCCCGCCGACTCGCCACAAAACTTCCGTTGCCCTACACTCCTTCACCTCGCCGCAAACCTCGACGCACCAGCCGTAGTTACGGCTCTCCTCACAAAAGCCGGGTCTGATCCAACGGCAGTTAACAACGAAGGCAGAACTCCATTCGAACTCACCGGCGATCGAGCCACGCGCGACGCCTTCCGCATTGCCCGTCACGATCTCGGCGAGTCAAAATGGGACTGGGAAGTAGCCAAGGTTCCATCGGCGGTCTCTAAAGCCGACGCTGAGAGCCGGGCCGAGAAAGAACGTAAAATAGCCGAGGAGGAAGAATCTACCCGGCGCAAGGCTAGCTTGGATCGCCTACAACGCGAAGAGGCCGAGAAGGCGGCGAAGCCGAGAACGACTAAGTCTGGCGGTCGTACTGTGGGCGCCGTTGAGAAGTCTGCAGCCGAAAGGAGAGATGAAGAGACTAGAGGTATGACGCCTGAGATGAGGATGCGATTGGAGAGAGAGCGCAGAGCGAGGGCTGCGGAGGAGCGTTTTAAGAGAATGCAAGGTCAATGAGGCTATATTGGATACCCTTTGAGCATTGAAGTTTTGACGGTGTGACTATTGCCATGAACATTCCATTCCCAAGTAGATATTGGCTCTATGTTCGCCATGGGGCGAAGAAAATAATTATCGTTAGCATTTCTTTCCCACCGCCAATATTCCTAGCAATGAGCCTAGAAGTTCTCTACTTGGAAGCAAGTACGGAAGATTATTAAGAGTTTGAGAACCTGGAACCAGTATCATCGGGGAGAATCCACGCAAAGCGATAAGTTACTTCATCGTCACCCAATGACCATCCCTAGGAAGCAAGTTACACAGGCAAATTGCAATAGTTCGCGATCCTTCGGGCATACAAACCCACAGAGGACAGGAGGGAGCGAGGGGAGCTAACAATAGCTCTTCCTGGGACCACACGGATAAGGATAGGGAGGAGGGCTTCCACCGTCCATTGGGCGCTATGAAGCCAGGGTCTGGTGTAATGAGCCCACTTCTACTTGGGTAGCCTCTTTATTCTTATCCCTGGCCCTTATCGTGTGACTATGAGAGCACTAGCAGTAGGGCAGGGGGGTAGAGAAGAGGGGTAGACCTCGATACAGAAATAGGGAGTGCTGATCGGTAGCAAGCCCGGAGAGATGGTCTCACTTTCAGGCCAATTGGTGGTCAGGCGATTGGGAGGTTGACTCAAGTGTTATGAGCCTCGGTAGGGTACTACAGCCTCTCTGAGACGAGGCCGTAGAACACAGTCCCTAGACCCAATCACAACTTCCTGTCAGCTGTAATAGTATTCTCAACAAAAAGAAAAGATAATCAATGATGTACGGTAGAAGACCCGGATCTTAGGGGGTGATCGCCAGCCAAACCACACATCTTTGGCCCACAAAGTAAGACAGGGAGGGGATGATGGGGCAAGAGCACTACCATATTGAGCGATGTCTGAGGCGATGAGGCCGTAAAGGTGAACGTGTGAGACCTCAGTATCTTGCCCTATGGCAAGTACAGTCCCAGCCACATTAGGGCTTGCCGATTGAAGGAATGTGGAGACGATCGACATCGAGGCCCGTGGGAAGGGGCGTATGTCTTGCATTAGCGCCGCAGGATCCACTGCAGGAGAAGCTTAGATAGCATCGATCCATGGATAGTTAGGAGACGAAAGCGTTGGAAATTAGAAACGCTCGTCTATTATAGGCTTTGTGTTTATTCTAACGTTGCGCTGGACTCTGTATCTCCTATACCCTATGTTACCGAAGCCTAGCCTTGTGCTCATGAATGATTCTCGGTGGAAGCAGTTTCATCCTCGGGCTACCCCTTGCATGAGATTGGATTTTGATCAGTGGCTGGGGCACGGGTCTTGGAATGGAGGCTGCGGAACATTTCGAAGGCTCTCCACTCGGTATTGTACTGAGTCCCTTTGAATGATCACAGGTCTAGTGGCGCTGTCAGCCCTTCTAGTCAAGCTGGGTTACAAGGAGTAGACACAACGCCCTTTTCGATAGGCACAACTGGAATATCCTTTACCAACTGCTTGTATCGCAATAAGTCTATCTGTAGAATGCTTGTCGGCCCGCAGTGTGCAGCCAGTCTGCACCCCACAATGTGGTAGATGCAGAGCTCTGCAAGATAATGCAAGCTGTATCTTTGCACGAGTTGACCAGAGTAAACCCGGTAAGGAGAAGCAAGGGCAATGGAATTTCTTACAGTACAGTATAGAAAATCCCCCGAGTGGGATGACCCTGGTTGATCCTATAGGGCACATGGCATTCTAAGCATTGACCCACGAGTACTCCGTAGTGGTCCGTGTATTCACATACATGCTGTACTCCGTAGTAATATTCACTATAACCTCTATACAGTATGGACGCCGTTAGGGCACGTATGAGTCTTGGCGCGTCGCGTCGCGTCACGAGAAACGCGAGACGCGTCAACGCGCTGAAAATTATGAAGCCACCATTCCACTCCACTATGCCACTAAGCTATTTACAAGGTCTATGAGTAGGATCACACAAGTGGCAGTGTTCAGAGGCCCTATAGTCCTAGAGTCCTAGAGGGCTGGCATGGCAGGGAACAAATCTCCTGGTGAAGGGTAGGAGAAGTAGGAGAATAGTAGGAAGGGAACCTCCTCTTTCAGATCATTATTAAAACGCGACTTCCCCCGGTGGCAATGATGAGATCAGGAAATCAAAGAAATGGTATGATCGCGTCTAACCAGGGCTGTACTTGGATACTTGGTATACAGCCCTAAGCCATTGATGTTACAGGCTCTGACTTCATTGCAATACACCAATACAATCTGATCATACTATACAAATTCAAAGAAAATCGTGCACAGAGTCGATCTGTTGCCTAAATAGGAAGTGTAATTGGAAAAAGTGTCTCAGGGGTGCCTCGTGCCTGTAGTCCTCTTTGTATGCGCCTTGCATGTAATCCCTCTTGTCCTAGACTCCTTAGTATACTGTTTCACTGGTCTACAATGTCAAGTCCTTCAGGTCCTTCAAGTAGATAGTATAATAGAGAGGCCTTCATTCCTGTTCCTAGTATTCTTACCATCAGCTCCTCCCATTAGCTCCTTCAGCTCCTTCATCACTTTCGTTGACCCTGAGATCTGTCTCTCACATTCCCTTCTTTTTCCAATCAACTCTGCCAACTGTTTCAACTGTTTCATAGTTCCTTTGAGCTTGTTGAAGTCAATAATAGATCGAACACATTCTTTGTGGCCGGAAATAAACTTGACGTTGCACGGGAGATCATTCGCTTGACCGTTTGCGGCCCCAATTTTCTTTTTATCGCCGCATTCCCCCTCCAACTTCTTCTCCCTACACACTCACTGTCAAAACATCCATATCACCAAATTGCTGTCGCATCTCCCGGAAAAGGTGGAACTTGAAGCGCATTCCAACAACAATATCGTCCATTCATTTTCGCATCCCCAACTGCCTCGTCGCGCAGCGCAACCGCCTCCGGCGCAATCACAGCCTACCCACAAATCGCGCGACCGCGCAACAACTCGACGTTGACTCTCTTTGATCCCATTCATCTTCAAACCAACTTCAAACCACTCAAACCGCGCATTCAATTTATATCTACAATCATGCTTCTCCCATCCGCCCTCCCATGCGATGTGCGCCAGTCGTCTCGCTTCACTCCCAGCCGCCTATTCTCAACTCCTCCCCCATCCGGCACAGGATTTGCATCGGGCAACGGTCTTCTTGGCACCTGCCGCGCACTACAATCTCTACTCAACCGATCGCCCACACCTTCATCGCGATCTGTGAAATCTCAACGCCTCCAGAGCCCCCTCCCCCTCAACACACCCCGTCGCTCGCCGCGATCGCACAAGGCCGCACGCCCGGTCTCCCCTAGACAAACACCACCACCCAGAACTGCCGCTCTCACACCCCCTCCTCCTCCATCCGCACCCGCCCGCGGCGCAAACAAGCGCCGCCGCGACATTCTCGATGACGATGACAGCGACGCGGAGATGACTCGCCGGCGCAACCGCTTCGCGACTCCCAAACGCCGCCGTCACGTCCCCTCCGATATGCCTCTTGGCCTTTCCTCCACAGACTTTTACTCCCTACATTCTCCTCCTGTCACCCAATCTCCTCCCTCTCCTCCTCGTCGCCAGATGGACTATGACATCCCAGCTGGTCCATGCGTCGACCCAGACGCGCCTCTGCCCTCCATCGAGGTAACAGACGAGTGTGCTCCTTCGGCTCCACAAGACTGGACCGCCGAAGAAGACCAACATCTTCTCGAGCTGGTCCTCGGGAAATTCCGCCTCTCCCAACAAGACTGGGACGAGTGCGCGCGCCAAATGGGCCGCAGCCACGTTGGGCCCAGATGGCAGTCCCTCGTTGGTGAGGGTCGTATCGGCCTGCGCTCGAGTCGGCGTTGAATATTGAATATTGCTTACTGCAATTATTATTGTCTTTCTTAATGTATTATATGATCTCTGTACCACCTGTGACCGACCTTATTCCTCTTGGCCTGACTTGGCTTGATTTCTTTGCCGGAACACCAACTGTATTATCATTTTTCTTTTCGGTCTGTTGTCTATTGACCAGCACAAATTGCTTTCGTCTGCTTGTCCGGTGCTGTGAGTTCCGTTCTACTCGGGCTATGTGAATATGTTCCTGCTTCTTTTCTTGCTCATACTGTTGTTTTTGTGTGACTTATTCTTCCACATCTACTGTCGTTTGTTTGGGAATTGTACTACTATCTACTACTACCAACTTTACTTATATTTTCATTGTCTATCACTCGAACAAGTATAAGATAGTAACTACAGATTTGACAATTGCTTCATGCATGCTATTGTGACAATCGTCTCATCGTATCTAAGATTTGGGATGGATATACCTAAAGCCAAGTGAAAACATGCAATTACACAATTCAAACCTTTGCCATGGTACTCAACCTCAAACTCCTGCAAGCATATATCTAAGGTACGGGAAATGAAGAATTGGATACGTGTAAAAAAATCCAGTATGTATATGGCTCCATCCAACGCCAGACACCAATGTGCTGCGCAAAGTAAAAATAACAAGATGAAACCGGACTCAAGTCCAATGATATCAATACTGCTCGTTGGAATCCTCTCCCACACGAACCCAAAATCAGCACAAAATTTCGAGAATCATCAGAACCTAATGAAGCAGTTGAGTCAGCGACCAAAACCATGACAGCAAAAAGATGAAACACATACCGAATCTCATAACTCCCTGCGCGAGTCATATAGCGCACCCACTTGACAGAGCTGTAATTACTCTTCTCAAAGACCTTAAGATAGCGCACCAGCAGACCCGAAGAGGTAAACATAAGCAAACTAAACGAAAGACTCAACGGCGGACGACTCCAAGCCTTCTGGTGCGTCATAGTCGTAAGCGTTGCCTCAGCATTAAGCACATACTCCGACTGTCCGGAGAAGCGGGCAATCTTCCAGACGATATTGTTCTGCTCTGGTTCATACTTGGCGCGGCCCTGGCTCGTGCGCTCCGTAGTCTTGGCAGTATTAAGCGGCGTGGGGATACGAATAACCACATTCGTAGCGAAGAGCTTGGAGCTGTAGTTCGCCTTGATGGCGACGCTGTACTCGACCTTTGTGGTACCGATCTCGCGCACAATCGGGTGCACCTTGAAGGGCAGGTTGACGTTCTCGGTGGCGCGGTAGCGCATCAGCTCGAACTCGCCATCCGGCGGCACGAAGGAGATGATGCGGTCCGCGTCAAATCGGCCCAGCTTCACGCACTGGTGGAACTGGCAGTCTTCCAGCGTGACGGAGCCTGCCGCGGCGCGCGTTGTCTTTGAGGTGCTGACTCCGTTGCCGCCGCCTGGGTTGTTCATGTTGCTAGAGGTCTCACCGGTGTCTAGGAGGAGGCGGTCGTTCAGGCCGAATTTGCATTCTGGGGTGCCGGTCAGGTAGGCGCGCATGACGATCTGGCCGTTGACGTCGGCGCGGAGGACGGTGCCTGTGGCGGACATCAGGAGGTTGACATCTTCGATTACGTCGACGAAGGCTTCGTTTTTGCGGTATTTTATGTCGGAGCGGCGCCAGGAGAGCGCGCCTGTTGCTTGTTGGGTAATTCGGGCGGAGTCTGATGGGGAGTTGGTGATGGCCGATTTGACGCCTTCGGTTGTGATGTACATTTTCAGGGTATCTGGATCGGTGTTCTGGGGGTATCCGAAGTCGAGAATTTCTGTATCACCAATTGTTAGGCTCCATTTCTAGAACATTGAGCCTTTTCCACATACCATCGAGCAGTTCGTAAATCAGGACGAAGTTGTTCTTCACGGCCTCCTCATCGAGCTTCCCGAAATAGCTCTTGCCCAGCATGACCAGCCGGTAGAGGAACTCGAAAATCAGCGCGGCATTGGCATTGCTCTTGGTCACAGCTACCAAGTAGATGTTCTCGTGCTTGACATGGCTAAAGGTCGTCGAGCCCAAGGTCAGGATCGGCGAGCGCACCTGGGGATTGGAGATGACTTGGATGCGGAAGATGTCGGCTAAACGCGGGCGGCAATCGCTACGGAAGGCGCGAAAAATGAGGTTTTCGCCCTTCTGGTTAAATATGAGGATCCCCGAGAGCATAATGTTTTAGTGAGTCGAGTTGCTGCTCCTGATAGGAGTTGGAGAGCTGCGGAAACAGGGGTGGGGTGGATCGACACCGCCCGAGGTATAAAAGGAGGTGCCACTTACTTGACTACTTGTGTAACTACTTGACAACCATAACTACCTATATAGTTAGCGATAACTAACCAGCTCACTATAACTAACTAGTTAATGGCTATTTCATATGTAAGGGGAGAGAGACATAGGTAACTGTTCCTCTGCCATCTAAAAACTTCGGTTTGCTGCTCATTAGGGAACGCACGAAACCTCTACTGGAACCATCGGTCCCTTTTCCATCTCCCATCCTCGATCAAATCCCACCTCCTATAACAAATCACCCCCGTTGAACCTCCAACTCTAATGGGTGAAACATTCGTCGAGGCCTGCATTGCGTGCGGCTGGACATCCACCAAACAAAAACAGTGCCATTACTCTAGCCACCTTAAACTTTTCTACGGTGCATCTCAACGGGGCGTTTGGACCATCGGTTCTGATGTGATTTTGAAAGACCGCCCGGATGAGGGTCTAAAAGCAAAAGTTGAAGTCAAAATCTTGAATTACCTGGCAACCCATACCGATATCCCAGTTCCAAAGGTTCTGCGCGATTGGGTCGATCACGATGGCCGATACTTTGTTATGACCGAACGCATAAGCGGCCAAACACTTGAGGAGGCATGGCCTTCGTTATCGAAGCCCCAAAAAGTGGCTATTGCGGATCAAGTTGTTGAAGTGCGTAAGCAGCTTCGATCTGTCATATCACCCTCCATCGAATGTGTCGATCATAGCCCATGTTATTCCCACTTTACTATTCTTCAATCTTGAACCGCATGGGCCGTTTCACTCCGACCAAGAACTCTGGGATGCTCTTAGCCTTGACCTTCACCATCTACCGCTCAAAGTGTTGGATAACTTAAAGAAGCGCCGACCGAAATGCGAGCCGTATGTCCTCACTCATTGCGATCTCAATTTGGGCAACATCATGATCCAGGATGGAAAGGTCGTTAATATACTCGACTGGGAGTACGCTGCCTATCTTCCTATCTGGTATGAATATGTCGCAGCCTCTTTCGGATTTACAGTTATGGATGTCGAATGGAAAAAGTTGTTGCAAGAGCGCTTAGGCGTACATGACGAGGGACATGAAGATGCCAAGGCATTAAGGCATTTTGGAGGGATTTGTGTAATCTAAGGCAGTATCCGGATTTGAATGAGAAGGGCCAGGAAGCCTTGAAGAGACTATCTTAGACTAGTGACACATTTCTTTACTGGGGAAATTCAGTTGTGCTTCTGCTGTTTATAATGAAAGTGCCATGTACGAGCTACAAGTTGATTGGGTGCCCTAGGGTTACCCACCTCTCGTGCCTCCTATTTGCTGCCGATTATGTAGATATCAAATTGATTCCTTGCTTTCCACACCGACGTTTTCCCAGCGACACAGACGTGCCTTGTACGAATAAATTATATTGAGGAAAATGCGTCGCTTCGAACGCATTCACAATGTTGTCGAACCTATTGAAGAGTATCGTATCGGAGGCTACCACCCAGTTCACCTCGAGGACACTTTCCACCACAGGTATCGGATTGTTGCAAAATGGGCATTCGGCCAGTTTTCCACAGTTTGGATTGCGGAAGATACAAGGTTGTATTCACCTCATTTTTCTATTTTGCCCGCGACTATCAAGCTTACTCCTTCCTGTACCTAGGCTTGGAAGATATATTACGTTGAAGATTCTCAAAGCGGATATCCCAAGTAGCAGCCGAGAACGTTCTATCCTCCTTCACTTATCGAAAGTAGATACACACCATCCAGGGAGAAACCACGTTTTGCAACTATTAGATCACTTTGAGCACAAAGGGCCTAATGGCTTACATATTTGTCTCGTGTTCCCAGTCATGATATCAGATGGTGGAGCAATGACTGTTCGGGAAAAACCACGCTGCCCAGGTTATGTTCGTGAGGTTTCGAAACAGATATTGCTCGGGTTGAATTATCTTCACGACCAGGGCCTTATTCATGGCGGTATGTATCCTCGGGACTAAATGACCAAGACGATAATATTGATTTATGAACAGACCTCCAACCAGCCAATATCCTGTTCACCCTGAACTGCAACTTATCGAGCGAAATGATAGAAGAACCCGAATTTAGTCATGTCAATTGGCTTCCAGGAGTTGAAGTGGATGACAGTGCTCCGCGGTATCTTATGAGCTCGCAGCGGCCCCGTGGAATGCTAGACGATGCGGCCTTCTCGACACTTATAGTCAAGATTGGTGATATGGGCGGAGGTCTGAACCCTTTTAGTGATGCGAGAATGTCGATCATTGACTATTATTATAGCTATATGGAACATACATCATGATATTCTTCCTGTCACGCCAATGGCGTCGAGGGCACCCGAGTTAATTCAACCCCATTCGTGGAATGAAAAGGTGGACATATGGGCTCTAGGGTGTTTGGTAATCTATCCCATCCTTAACTCCTACCATGATCTAACCATCAAGTGCAGATATTTCAGCTTGCTACAAACGAGCCACTCTTCCCGGTAGAATATTTTGGCTGCACGATTGACGAGGTTCATGGGAATTTGAGGTCTCTCATGCGCAGCCTATTTGAGTACGGCAATGAAAAATTTGCCATTTACATTAGCGAGAGATTACCGGCTGATTTTGGTAAAGACAATACTGAGAAGCTTGCAGATTTTCTTTGGTCGACGTTGCAGGAACGTCCGGAAGATCGGGAATCAATTACTGGGCTTCTCAATCACCCATTTTTAGTTGGCTGAAGAGGTAAGCGTTGAGTCTAGGAAGGAGGGATCTTTTCTGCTATCCTCGGTGTCGACAATTTAGGAATATTGGACTGTAATTGGGTTTGAGCTTGAAGATATGCTTGTTTGTAGTGTGATATTTTTGCCTAATGTATGAATTATCACGATGGTGCATGAACCTACCACAGAATGTTTTGCAGGCAAAGCGAACACTGACTTGCATAAACGCTCAATGTACGAGTATTGTATGGACCATGGGCTGCTCTACTCCTATTGAACATCAACGTGGAGGGAGCATTAAGGCGGAGAGAAATCCGCAATGTAGTTAGTTCTTTCTCAGGATTAGCAAGTCTAGAGGTGACAATGCAGTATGACAGCCGGATATGGACAAAGATGTATGGTCAAGATGACAGTTCGAGATCAGGGTAAAGTAGCCCCCCAGGGGAATCAGGGATATGTAGATGAAGCTGACAGAAGAGATATGAAAGAAAGGGATCAGATCACAGAAATATTAAAAGGAAAACCTCGGACTCCAAAGACGAAAGGTATATAGCGAAAGATTCAGTGTCGCGCGGGATGGATATCATGCAGAGATCCCAGTAAAGGAACAAATCACAAAGATGTACAATCAGAAAGCAAAAGCAAAACGGCGCCTGCAGCCCGACACCATCAAGAGCCAGCCCCAATACCAGTACTCGGCCTGGTATTAGCAGCTGAAGGGGCTTCACTGGGTACAATGCCAACCTTGGGATCGGGAATCTGGATATCAAGCGACATATAGGCCGTCCGCCTCAAGCTCCAGATATGAACACCATCTTTGGCACCGACCTCGCGGTTCCAATTCTCCAACCAAGCCTCGACACGCTGCAACTGGCTTTTGGTCGCGGGGGCATTGATATCATCCCATACCCAGCCCGTCAACAAACCCATCGTGCTATCGAACCAATTCCGAAAACTGAACGGATCAAACGCCTTGATAACACCATCATTGACGGTAGAGATAACCCGGCGAAACTCCTGCTCCGACAACAACGGATCAAGGATCTCGGGATACAAATTCGAAAATGTCGGCGCCAAATCACCCTTGATCATCCAATCTCGCCGGATGCGAATCACGCGCGTTGTGAGGTACTCCCGCGACCCGAGAGGCACATGGGGATTAATATGCGGAAAACAGGGGTGAGCAGGGCCCCAGGCGAGCTCCTCAGCGACATCGGCATGCGGGTACCCAGTATGCGACGGGACGGAAGCGATCTGGGACTGGGACTGGGACTGGGAGTGGAAGGAAGTTTGTGACTGGGTGTAGCGGAAACGGTCGTTCTGTCGGGTGCCGCTCTGTGTGAGGTGGACAGCTTCGGGAGGGCGCAGGTTCTCTGTTTCGCGCGCTGCGCTGCCCGCGAACGCGGCCGTCATTTCTGTGAACTCTTCGCTGCGACGGTGTCGTCGGGGCAGGGCAATGCTCGTCCGGCCACTTTCTGTTTCCCCCTGGCTGCGCTCGACGAGTAGGCTGTTCGGGGATGGGCTTAGGCGGGAGCGGCGTCGCTCTGGGACGCTGAGGAGGGGGTGGACGTCGCGTGAGTGGTCGAAGCTGAGTGGGAGACTCTCGTCGGATTGTTGGGGGCGGACGGTTATGGGGGTTATTCGTGGGACGTGGTTGACTGGGTTTGCGAGTCGGACTGCTGGTGGGCGGAGGAGCGACGGCGGGCCTGAGATCGGAACGCACTGTCGCCGCTGGGCGCGAACGAATGACGGAGTTGACTCCACGGAGGCGCGATTGGTTGGAGGCCGGTTTATGAATTGTTGGCCACGTGGGTAACAGTATGCTTCTTCCTCCCTCGACAGAGGTCTGGGGACTATTAAGGACGCCGTTTTGAGGGGAGAAAGGAGAGGGGGGAAACTGGAGCGGAGATGGAGATCGGCCAAGAGAACAGTGCCCTATGTGGACATACAGCAAAATGAGTGTGAGAAATGATATTAGAAAAGAATTAGGGAAAAGAAAGAAGGTTTGAATTTGTAGGTGAAATTTGAGACAAAATCCTTGTAAATCTTATAGAAGCAGCTAGCTTGGCGTATATGAGTCTCGACTTTTGCTAAATAGACAGAAACCGGAATTCAGACTTGAAGAAGGATCTTGCATCTTATATCTTATATCAAAATGACAGAGACTCGAAAGGGATATACGTCCAATAATATAATAATTGATATGCAAGTCGTTTGCCCCCGGTTTCACTGTGATGAATCCACCGTCCCTTGTTTCATCTCGGCCTTTATTGGTAGTATGCACACTCTAGCAAACGCTAATAGACGTACTATTGCACTATTAGGGATGACTATCGCAGTGCATAAGGACCGTTAGGGACTTTGGTCCTCTTAGCTCTTATTACCAACGGAAATTGGCCATAAGATCTTCCGACTTATTACTCCGTAGAGTCATAGTCTTCATCCTATTCTATAGGCTACGACCGATTCCCCTTAAAAGCCAATAGGAACCCTAGTAGTCACCATGCACTGCGATATGACGAACTGCATTTCAATTCAGACCAAGTCTCGGCAGTGCTCGGTGAGGCCGTATTACTTGCATGGCGCGAATTGGGCAAAGATATACATTATCAAATAAGATTATAGACATTGATGCAATAAATACTTCATAAAGTCGTAGGAAACACACATTCGCCATGGCGTGTAATAACAACGCTTGGTAAAAAAGAACCAAATCAAGGGGTATTGAGAAAAATGAATGAACCATAGGTACTACAGCTTTCGATTTGCTGAGGCCTGCATACGTCGCATTGCCTGTCGGTGCAGATCCGTCATGTTGCCACGCTGCATGCCGTCTGCGATGGCATTGCCCAGCTGAGCAGACGAAGCCTCGCGCATCTGCTGCACAGAGCTCCATGTGCGCCGTTGGTCGGGGGGACCAGCTGGGCTGAGGGGCGGGGACTGCATGGCCAAAGGATTTCGCTTTTGGGTGATTTCCTCGCGGACCGATTGTCGCCACGCTGCCATTCTTGAAGCAGACCGCTTCAGCTCGCCGGCGGGTTCTGCCGGGGGATACATAGGGGACTGGGCAGCCTGGAGATTCTCAATGCTTAATGCAGATGAAGACCGCATTGTCTGGCGCTGTAGCAGGGCGCGCCGTTTGGAAAGTGGGATGTCATCCTCGTTGGGTTCGGGTTCTATCTCCTTTTCTTCCGGGATGGAGAGCGGCGGTGATACTGGTGCTACTGGGGAGACGAGGGGTGCCATATCAGGTAGAGACTGTCGGGATAAGTTGCGTGCGGCCCAGGGATCGAAGCGGTTGGATGTTGAGGACATGCGGTTTCGGACCATGTTCTCGCGGATTGCGAGAAGGGGAGGTGGCCCGTTCCAGCGTGATGATGGCTCTGCTTCTTTGGGCTCGTTGGGAGTAGTGACTGTCAACAGGGGAGTCGATGCGCAGCGCATCGACGTCAATCCCGGTTCTTGGGTTATGAAAGGATTAAAAGCTGATGGTAGCATATTGACCGAAGCTGTCGAATCGTTCCGGGTTAGACTTGGATTCGCTTTGCTGAGACCTTGCGTGCCTGTCCGTGTCTTTGATCGGGGAATATCTGGTGAGGGTGTCGATGAGATGTATGGTTGTTGATTGTCCATATCATCAAATTCAGGTCTGTTCACGATTGGTGGTGGTTGTGCAGTAAGAGGCGTCTGGAGAAGACCGCCTACATCGACAAATGCTGCAGTCTCGCGAACTTCCTCTGAGGCTTCTGCCTCGGGTTCAGGTTCGAACTCAAGCGGCTCCATCTCAGGGGTGTCCGCATCTGCGAGATGCTTGGCCCATTCGTTCGTCCGGTACGAATGGATCACTCGTGATGTTTGCTCGGGGATGTGCTTGATGCTTGACGCATCTAGTTTTTTGATTACTTTGATCTTTGGCTCAACCTTGGGCTCGGGCAAAGATGCAGCCTTCGACTCAGGAATAGACTCGGCCTTGATGGTTTTAGCAGTAGGAGGTTGATCTTCATTGGCCTCCACATTTTCCACTTCTGCATCATTCATAGGTGACTGCTCCAATGTAGGTTTGGGCTTGACTTCCCCGATCTTCTTTGAGGCATCTGGAATGTCTGCTTGAACATCTGTTGCGGGGGTTTCTGGCGATTGTGGCTTCTCCGACACTTCGGAAATTCCAGAATTCTCAAGGGGACTGTTGGCAATAACAGTGCTCTCGACGGGAGACACCTGCTGAACAGTGTCGCTAGTATCGACTTCTTCGGTGGTCACTTTCTCGGCATCCTGGGATATGGCTGTATCGACATGGAGTCCAGCATCTTGGATGGCTTGTGAGCCGGATTTTGACTTGATGTCCACACCTGCCGAGTCCTTCTCTGGAGATAACTCGGCTCTAATTTCGCGCGTTTGCTCGTGAACATCCGCATCCGATAGAACACTCGGACAGCCGACGCTCATCTCATGGAGATCATCCACAACCCCCAGGACAGAAGAGCTGGCATCATCATGAGCCACCAGATTCTCCTGCGACTGTGAAGTCGTCATAACACCATTGCTGAGCCGCCAAGACATCCGGTTCAACATTTCTCTGCCGGAGAACCGTTTCGAGCGCGGCGTGCCGACCTCTGAGCCGATCTCAGCACCGATCTCAGAGGACTCATCATTGCCCTCACCAAGGATATGAGTCATAACAGGTGTGGTAGGTCTCGGCACCTTTTCTTCAGATCGACCCTCTTGCTCGACGCCCTTTTCCTCTGCATCTTGTGATTGACCCTGTTGGGATGAATCCTCCTCAGGCACAGCCTCAAGTTCGCGAGTACCGTTTTCACCCTGGCGGTTCTTCTCTCCATCAGAACCACTACCGGAAGCATCGGGGCTCGAGATTTCCTTGAGCTCGATCTCACCCTCCCTGTCGTTGTCAGAGGACTCAAACGCCTCCGAGCCCCGTCGCGAGTCATCAACAGCAGTCTCCGAAACCGAGGCGGTTTTGCCATCGGCGGCTTTGCCGGTTCCGTAAATGAGTTCCCATTCAGCACGTTCTTGGATATTCTTCTCCTCGAGTCGGCGACCGATTTCGAGATCTTCTTCTTCGATCTTTCGAGTGTGTTCCAGGCGGGATTCTTCTTCCTTGGTTCTGCGCTCCTTGATGAGATTCCAAAGTCTGATCTGGGAGATTACTCCTAGAACAGCGATAATGATAGTCACGGCGAGCTCAACACGAATACCACGTGTCACGGGGTAAGTGTCCGTGTTAAGAGGGAAGACATTTTGGTTCAAGTCTGGGTCTGTCAGCAACTATCAACAGTTGGGAAAAATTGTTAGACTTACTCCAGTTGTATAACCAGAACTCCTTCAACCCAGCTCTGCTAAAGCAATCGATTCCAAGGACTAAGGCAGTTGCACCGGCGAATGATGTGCAACCGATCAACCCGTATGATCGGGTATAATGGCTGAATGACAGGCAGTAGAAACCTACAGTAAAGGCAATGATCATACCGACCCTGGAGCCACTTTCGGTTACAAGGCCGCCGGATTTCAAGGCAAGGAACCACATGCTCAGGCAGAAACCGCCCAGAAGACAGCCCAGTCCCTCGCATATCTCTCTGAAGACGAGCGATAAAGCACCGAACACAACGCCGGTGAAGAAGACAGCGACGAGGTAACCGCCCTGTACAGCATTGCTGACCGGTGGGCTCATCACATAGATAATAAGGACCTGTATGAGAGTTGGTTAGTTTTTGCTCTTTGCTATTTTCGAGTATAGAACTTACGGTAACTCCCAATGCGCTAAGAAATCCGGTTGAGAGGAAGATTTGGACCCTTTTCTTTGTTAGAAAATGCTATTGTCATCAAAGAATCGTAGCTTAAATACCATTGTTGCCGGACACCAATGAAAGCCAGAACAGCCCCGAGGGCAATAAGTATAACTCCCCCAACACCCCATGCCGGCGTGATCACTGGTTTGATTGGCAGACCACCGGAGTAGGTCGGCCTACTGGAGTCTGCTGCTTCCTGTTGAGAAGATTCAGTTGCTCCGTCGAGCGAAGGTACAGTGGAGGTAGCAGAAGCGGCAGAAGTCGTTGTTGTGGCATGCGTTGTCGCATGCGTTGTAGTAGTCGAGTCAGTACTCGAGGTAGTAGCGCCTGTCGTTGTAGTTTCGACAGATGTTGATGCCTCGGTTGTTGTTTTTGATGTATCTGTTTGTGTTGCCGTCGTAGTCTCACTGGCAGCATCTGTCTTTGTAGAATCCGTTTCCTTTTCCTGTCTGACCTCCAAGTTGGCGAATGCAACATTGCGTCGTCCCGCGGGCGAAGCTGGCGCTGCCAATGTCCCTAGTAGAAACAGGGACACTATTAAGACGAATATAAAAGACCACCGCATCTTGACTCCAGTTTCCGAAGCGAAATGCAAATGTCCTTGGGTATTCTAAGGCCTGCACGCCTTTCACATATCCCGCGGTGTCAGTCACACGGCGCGTGAAATTAATACAGACAAAAGGAATAGACAAATATTAATAATTAAAAATAAAAAAGAGAATTAATTGACGTCGGTCAGGGACACATTGTAGGGTAAGGAGGAAGAAGAAAAAAAGGACCAACGGAGACAACCCTAAGCCTCCCCTACATATAAACCAAAACGCGTAAGGATGAATGGAACAGGGCTTTCATATTTGAGTTTACAGCTGAGGGAGCCCCAGCATGAATTCAAGGAATCTGAGAGGATAATAAAATTACAAGCCACGCGATCGTATATCGAAGCTGAGCTATCTACTTTGCCTCCACCGATCGTGGAATTAGCCGATCTAGCAAGGACGAACTTGGACTAACTTGGATTAGCTTGGATTGACTTGGACTAGCATCACTGGCACGGACCAAAGAGAGAGAGAGAATATCCTCATGTCTCCATACTGTGGCTTAATTGTCCCTGGTGTGGATAGTATTGGAGATTCCAACCATGAAACGACATGTTATTGCGGGCCCTCGATGGGACTATTGTTTTTTTTAATTTCTGATTTTTGCTTCCTTTAAGTTGAACAACACACTGGGATCTGCATTTTCAATTCGAGTGAGCTGTCAGATCATCCCTTCTGAGCAAATTCACCGTCATTTATACTCACGTCGCCAGTTCGCGGTGAACCAAAAACCCCCCAGCAGCAGCAGCAGCAGACTCCAGGGCTCTCAGTTCGGGTGGCGCCGCGCTTTGCCTGTAGCCGATCTATCGATTCAGCTAATTTGGCGATTGACCTTCCAGGTTTGAGCCGAATCAATTTGACTTTGACCGTCGACTTGACCAATCTTATTGTCCTGCAAATGTCGGCCGTGTTAGCCATGTTAACCATTGTTGACTCCAAAGGCCCCATCTGCGGCGACGTGGTTGGGCCGCTAATTGACCATGTAAGGAGTGCATCTGAGACAACAGCTATCTTAATTTATCTCGGTCTGGTTCAGTCAATCAGCAGCGGTGCAGCATCTCCGCTGGGATCTGCCCCTGGCTGATCTGCCTATCGGCTGCTTTTTCCACTTTAGTGCTGCTGACGGTGTACAATTGCATGTTGTACAATTGTACAATTGTACCTATACGGAATACGCGGAAATCCATATAGTTTTCGGGAGAGTCGGATGCGATGGACTGACGTGACCGGGCTAAAAATATTATACCCTGTTGGCATTCACATGGCGTTATGAAGGATTTCAAAATAATAGAGTTAGGCCCGTCGTTTGATTTGCATTTCTTTGCTTGCTTGTCCTTGCTTTCTTTTTCCTTTTGACTCGGGACATCCAAGGCGAGACGTTGGATTTCTAATTCTGATGCTTATAACTAGCTGTCTGCACCCGTAGATAGAACCCTGCACAAGGGGCAATTCCGGGGTAGAGCTAGCTATAGCTCTCTCGCATGAGCTTATGAGCTTCACCAAATAAATATGGAGCACTTATTTCAATCTACAGGATATCTCAATTGCAACCAAAATCCCTGATTCAAACCATAATAACCAATAATAATCCTGATAGCCAGCCTAATAGTGCCTTCTGCCACTATATCACATCTGAAAGCGGTAGCCCATGTACACATCACGTGTTATGGTCAACAACGTTCACACGCCAAAACAAATCCAATGAATCCATCCTTACCATAAACCATAATTCACACGTCCTCCATCCAACCATGTCTACCTTCATCTCTTCCCTGCGCCCGAACCTGAGCATGAGCCTGGCCAGCATCCCCCGGTACGCCCGCACCTTCAGCACCTCGCCCAACTGGGCCATCGCCCGCCTGACCCTCACTGGCCGCCTCGGCGCAGAGCCCGAGCTCCATGCCACCTCCTCCGGCCAGGAGATCATCAAATACACCATTGCCACTTCCCACGGCAACCGCGAGAACCGTCAGACCAGCTGGTGGCGCATCGTAAACTTCGTCCCCGAGGGCGGCCAGCGCGATTTCATCCTTGGCTTGCAGAAGGGGTAAGTGGCTACTCGTGATACTTTTCTGGCTTGTGCGGCTGCATGCTTGGATTGCGTCTTTTTCGTCGTGTGTTTGCTATATCTTGTCGTTTGAGTTTGGGTCTGCGTGTGCAGTCTATGCGGATCGCGAGCGAGAGCGAGAGCTTGCGCTTGAAGGCTGCATGATGATCTGCAACGCGGGCCTGGTTGAACATATGATAGGTGATTTGGCGGTCAAGCGACGCGCTTTCGGATGAGACGTTACTCTTTCATGTCATGTGGTTGAGCAGAGGTTGGGTTATGGGGTTACCCTGCTCAATTTCCTGTCAACTTGCGCCAATGCAGCTATTTAAGCTTTTAGCTTGATGCAGATGAGCTAACTTTCTCCCGCAGAACCCTCCTGTACGTCGAAGGTGATGCTAAGATGTCCACTTGGGAAGATTCCGAGGGTCAAAACCGGTCCACTCTGAACATTGTGCAGCGTATGTCGATCTCTCGTTTACTGGATCTGCTCCTAGCCTCCCAGAGCAAGAGAGAAAAGGGTTCGATCTAACATTCTTCTAGGCACTCTCGAGGTCCTTAAGCGGCCCGATAACTCCGGTCACTCCGACGAGTCTCAGTAAATGGCTTGATTGGGGCTCGATCAATCTGAATATGTTGCTAGTTATATTTCGTGGCTGGTGAGATTGATTGAATCCTCCTTTGCGGTGTGATAATATGTACAATACCCTGGATACATTTTGTTTTCTAGTGGATGATTTGATTTTGGTAGCGTGTGATGTAGACTTAGTATGCTAAATCTCGATTCTTGGTCTCAAAATATTGGCCTTCGTAGATTCAAGTTGTGACTTATTTCACTTTATACCAGCGAAATATAAGCCACAGACAGGATCTATCCCGGCCTACCACCAACCCGGGGACTACGCCTTCGCTGAACTCTTCTACCTTTCTGTGTGGGGCACAACTGCGCAAATCAAATTATGTATTATGATACTTAAGTAAAACTCTGCTAGACAACAGATCCCATGACCCAGACCAACGCAAACGCAAGATGAGCAAACCGTAATGAAACCACTGCAAGCCGAGATACAACCAGAAGAAGAACAAGCCCACTAGACCTGAATCCTGACCTCGCTCTGCTGGCTAATAACCTGGCGCACATGAATGAAATCCTTACTAAGCTTAGGCGAACTAGGTCCACTAGACAGATCCCGGCTATCACGACGACTAGCCCAAGCATTCGAGGATACAGTCAGCGAAGTACCAACGGGGAGGTCATTCAGCAGCGTCCCATCTATATCCTGACGAGTCTGGCGTCTGTTAAAGAGCGACCAGGGCAAGCTATTCCAGCGCGAGTTCCTGGTAGACCTGGTATAACGGGACAAGGGCGAGGAAGAGCCCTTTTCGATATCGTTGTATGTGCCATGCGTCGAGACAAACGTAGCGAAGGATTCCTTCTGTCGCGAGAACATTGATTTCGCACGGGAGCCGATGCTGCCGACGAGCGTGGTTGCTGTTGAGGCGTGCGCCGCTGAAGGGCCGGAGTTGTGCGTATCGGTTGGGGGCTCGATGCTCGGGAAGCAGTAGCCCAGTCCGAGGTACCAGAAGACTGTGCGGTACATGCGGGTTGCGTCGCGGCCGAAGCCGAAGAAGATGAAGATCATGAAGCCTGATGCGACGGGGGTCCAGCGGTCGAAGAAGACTGTGCCGTCGATGGGGACTTTGGTGATGGTGTTCCATTCTCCGTTGTGGATTCTGCTCCAGGAGTAGCTGTGCCAGGGGAGGGAGAGGATGATGTCGGTGTAGACGACGTAGCCTTGAAGTGGGAGGATGCAGACAAGCATTGATAGGGCCAGGAAGAAGAGACGGAGGAAGCGGGATTTGCTGAGGTTGCTGCTGGAGGCGCGGAGGATGTTTGCGAAGTCGCTTCGGTACTTGTGTACGCGGATGAGGACCAGGCCTGTGATATTTGGTTAATGGAGTGTTTTTGAAGTGAGTTGGGAGTATACTTACAGCAATAATATGCTGCAATGAGGCAGATAATCGGCGGCCAGATCCATGCAAAGACGAGACTAACCCAGCTCTCGTCGAAGTTGTTCACACATCCCGAGATGGCAAATAGCAAGTATCGGCTCTTCTGCCAGATGATATGTGTGATCATTGCGGTGACTGGAACAGCAACGCAGAACAGAATCTCCATGCACTGGTTGCGCCAGCGTTGACCTCTGCTCGGGACTAATGTGGCCCGGTCTGTATCCAGTACGATTGCAAGACTTCGAAAGATGCATGCCAGGCTTCCTGGGATGCCCACGTAGCCGGCAGCCATAAACTTGACCTCGATATCACAGAGACCAGCTCCATCCCACCACGACGCCACGTCGTCCGTGGGCCATATGAGAGAATTGATGATGTTGAACAAGTTGAGGAGGATTGACCAGAATATCAGACTAGTAGCAGGGAAATTTCGGTTCTTTCCATGCAGAATTAATGGCGGAATAGCGAGAGCAATGGAGAAAATAGATAGAATTGGTAGAGCCACGGCCTGCGGGTATCTGTGGTGAATATCCATGACGGCAGATGTAAAACAGAGATTAAAAAGAATATGTAGATAGTCTGGAACTCCAGTTCTCTTGCAAAATGATCAAGGAGACTAAGAGATAGTATGAAAGAAAGAAGAATGGATTGGAACCATCCTCTCTCGATGAAGTATACTCAGCCAGGGGAGGTGATTGACAGCGATTTCTTATTGAGATCCGAATAGTGAGAATCAGGAGGTTGATTCATAGCTCAAGACATCGTGTATTGAGCAAACTCATGTACTATTCAGAGAAAGGTATGGGCTGCAGAAGCAAAACCCACGGCCGGGGGTACCAGGCCTTGACATATTCTGCAACAAGCAAAGAAACCTGTCCATTGAATTAGCTTTGAATTAGACTGAACAAATTGCAATAAGGAGAATAAAGAAGATGAAAGGAGCCGAATAAAGAAATTCGAAGCCCATCGTCTGGGGTGTTGTGGTTGAGCGAATAGTGTGAGGCACCCCAGTCCGGATTTGGGTGTCAATAGACCCGAAAGGGCAGGGAGTTTATTCATTCTGATCCGCCTGTTATTTTTGACTTCGGCATGGGAGATGAATGATTCATAATTGATCTAGACTGTCTAGTCTATCAGGTTGGGGAAATTAGAAGATTGACCAGATTTTAAAGGTGTGAGAGAGTTGATGCGTCTAGTCCGTAGAGGATGACCCTCGGCTAACAATAAATGACACTGCAACAATAGAAATAGTTAAAATGCGTCTATATCTCGTTACTGAATAGTCTACTATTTAGATATGGCATAGTTCCCAAGCTACATAGCTAGTAACAAGAGTAGTCTTGGTCTCAGGTGTCTTGTTTATAGTCTCTTATGGGTGTTAGCCGCCAAAATATAGAATCATATAGGAAAAGATATATAAAATGCGAGATATTCATGTTGACTATTAGGAAGTCTACCTACATATTTATATGCAGTTATTCAAATGTTCTTCGATGGTCAAGTCAAAGCCCTGGAGTGTCGGGCCTCATTGCATCATCCTCGGCATTGTATCCCATACTCTCCAGGCCGTATGGTGTAAGTAAGAGACACACATGTTCCTTTTCCCAACCTCAGAAACAACATGGCGGATGCACCCACTCAGCGGCCCTTGAACATACGTCGCGCCCGTACCTTTGAGGAAAATCAACGACGGAACTCAACCCTCTCGGACACGCTCTCGGAGGCCCGCAACTCTATCCGCTCATCGACCGACGACTTGTTTCTACCCCGTGTAGAAAAAGGCCATGGCACACTCTCGACAGAAGAATCGCATTGGCATTCTGCACCGCTAGGCCTGGCCCTGCTGCCCGCAATAGCAGGCATTTTCTTCCATGAAGGTAGTTCGTTCGTCACCGACGTCACAATACTAGTCTTGGCCGCTATATTCCTCAACTGGTCTGTCCGGTTACCTTGGTATGGCCCCCCCTCCCCCACAATCTCCCCAAACAAAGTACTAATATGAACTATATAAAGGGACTGGTATCGCTCGGCCCAGGCCATCCGACACGAAGAAAGTGGATTTCCAGCGCCCGGCGATCCCCCATTCGAGCTCGACGACCAAGAACAACACAAGGATGCAGCAACAGCCATCTCCGAGCTCCAGATCCACGAGCTCATCGCTCTAGCCACCTGCTTCATATTCCCTCTAGTCGGCACCGGTCTCCTCCACGCTATCCGCTCCAGTCTCTCCCGACCCTCCGAGGGCCTAGTATCAAACTACAACCTAACCATCTTCCTCCTAGCCTCCGAAGTCCGTCCAGTCTCCCACCTCCTAAGACTAATCCAAAAGCGCACCCTCCACCTCCAACGCATCGTATCATCCGCAACAGACCCAATCATAACCCCAACAACCCTCCAAGACCTAGTCAAACGCCTCGAAGAGCTCGAAGCCCACGTCGCAGAGACAGCAACCGCCCGTCTCGCCACAAAACCAAACACCAAAGACCCCTCCCAAAAAGTACAAGAACAAGACCAACCCCAGATCTCCCCAGCCCTGGTCGCCAACGCAGCCCTCGAAACCCGAAAAGCTATCCAGCCCGACATCGAAGCCCTCAACCGCGCCGTCCGTCGCTACGAGAAACGATCCGCCCTCTTCTCCCTGCAGACTGATCAGCGCTTCGTGCGCCTCGAGACACAGGCCGGCGACGCGCTTGCGCTGGCGGCTGCTGCGACGCGGTCGGCCGAGTCTCGTCGTCCAAACTATGCGCTCGTCTTGCTGGACTGGGCTTGCGCGTGCGTCGTCGTCCCTGCTCGGATTGCGCTGTCGCTGGTCGGTTTGCCTGGGCGTGCGGTCTCGGAGTGTTGGCTTGGGGCGAAGCGGATGCTGATCGGGCGGAAGCCTGCGCCGCAGCAGAGATCGAAGTCTAAATCGTCGAAGGGGAAGGCTAGGGCTGGGTCATCCGGTGTATATCGGCAGGGTGGTGGGCTGGTGTCGCAGCGGCGGTCTGAGGTGAGGAATGGGGATGGGGGGTGATGGGGATATGCATGGACTTTTATTTTGTTTTCTTGTTGACTGCATAGTATTTAGTGAGGGGTATTGGGGTGATGACCGAGCGATCAGTATATTGGCGTGCATGTATTAACTTAAGCACTTCCGGAGCATAATTTATCATGGACTGTAGGATAGGAAAATTGACTTTAGTTCAAATTGCTTGCCCAGCCTGTATCATTGATCTCTAGAGGAAAACGTGAAGACATGGCCTCAATACAGCATTATACACATCGAGACAACGTGATGGAATCTAACAACTTCAAAAGCCAAGTCTATGGGAGTCAAAACATGACGGGGTTCGGAAAAAATCAATACCGGCCCCCAGATGGACCTCGATCATCTACCCCAACCATCTTTAAGAATGGCTCAATGATCGATCGCCTCCGCTCTTCAGATATACGACGCTCTTTCTCTTTAGACGGCATCGGAGCAGAGGCAGAAATAAGCACAAGTGCAAAGACAGACGCTAGAGCAGTCTCGACTGCTTGACGGCGTGCTATTGAATGGTTCTGAGGTGGGGGGTCAGGGCTGGTGCTGGTGGATGTGCTCGAGGTGCGGTTCTTGCGGCGGAAACTGCCGCTGGTTATGAAGGCAGTAGCGGAAGCTGGAGTAGGAGACTGGGCTTGATTCTGGCTTGCAGCCCCGGCCTGCTTATCTATCGGTTTATTGGGGGTGGCGTTGTTCTTTTGCTTGGATAATGGGATCAACGGCGTACCGGCCGATACTGGAGCCACTTCATTGGCTATGCGGGCGAGCATAAAAGTGACAAACGTGAATGATACGCTGTGCGCTGGTGAGTAGGCCAGGTGCTCAAGCACCCAGGACTGGCTTTCTTCCCAGTTTCGAGGAGGGGATTTGCTTTTCTCCCGCGCAGCTATCTGCTGCTCCATGTCTTGCCATACTTTCGCCGTGACGATGCCGTCTTGGAGCGAGTTGAGGAAAGTGAGGAGGGTTTCAGATAGGACCTCCAACCGATGAAGAGAGGATATCTCAGGGGCAAATATTGAGCTGAGGGATTTGTTGGTGTCAAGAGCTTCACGCACGGAATTTCGCAGCTTAGCACGCTCCTGTGGGTCCTTTAGAGTCCATGTATCAGGCTGGAAAGGCCAGGCTCCCCCGGAAAGATCCGTTGCCCATGGAGCTTTATGCTCCTCGGATTCACCGTTTGTCATGCTCCACTCTGCAACAGCGCGCTCTGTCAGCTCGGATATCGCCTCGGTCAGTCGGAAAAGCTCGCGGGGTGCCGACAGGCGGATTTCCGTGGAAGTATCTGTGATGGATGGGTGTGGGGTTTTTGATTCGGCCAAGCTTCGAGCACCCGCTTCTGGCATGCGGGTCAACTCGTCAACACTGCAACCGAAGCAGGTGGGTAGCCAACGGCCCTGAACAGGGATAAAGTGGTCACGGCCGCCATCGACATGGAGGACAAGGATGTCTTCTAGATTCACCTTTCCAATATTAAGCAATCGGACGTGTTCGATGTTGCGAACGTAAGCCGTGACATCGATATTCGCTACTTCACCAGGGAGCAGAGTGTGGCTCTCAGACGAAGAAGCCATCGATGGGCCGGTGTCTGGGGCGATGTCTGCAGACTTGCAGACACGCACAACAAGCCACGAGGCTGTTTGTGTAATTGTCTCGTCGACAACTTTATGCCGCTCCGCAAATGAAAAAGTTGCCGGGGTGCCGCTGGTGTTGGCAATAGTTAGGGACCGATGAGCTGGCACATCGAAGGCAATATCCCCGAAATCGACGGTGTCAGGATCTTTCTCTGGGCGCTTATGGTCACTATGTCTATCCACCACAATAGTAAGATCGGGCCGAGCTTCATTCTCGGCCTTGTCTAATTCACGGGCCACTTCTTGATGCACCTTTGATTTCAGATCGCGATTGACTGCATCAAAACTCAAGGTAAAGGTAGCATCCAGAGGCTTGTGGTCAGACGACAGAATGCCTTGGTGTGACACGTAATGGTCCAAGCGGATTAAATCATAGCAAGAGTCGAGCGATGCAATTGTGCTTGCATCATCATCATCATCAGCGGCTTGATCCTCGTCCGATATGTACTCCTCGCTGTTCGCACCGTCTTCATCAGGGTCATAATCAAACAAGACGTTATCATCGGCAACAGCCTTGTCCAGTCCCCTTGCCTTCATCTCCTCGTCCCTCTTTCGGGCCTCCTCCGCTTCCTGATCGAGCTTCTCATGTCTCAGCTTATCCCGCTGGCTACGAAACAGAATCCGATCACACCAGCTGGGAGCGCGCTGCTTCTCGCTCGTATCAAACATGGCCACACTCCCAACGTCGTATTTATACGTCGGCAAGAAAGTGATATGACCTTCCCGCCAACCCTTGTGGAAAGCCGATCCTTTTCTTTGCTGAAGTTTAAGTTGATCGTGCGGGATAAGTGAGGCAATTGTAGTTTGAAGAGACGCGGGGTCATTATGAGGGTCAATCTGTTCGTCGGTGACAGGTTCGGTGACAGTTGCAGTGACTGACTCCGTCTCCTCGTCCGGAGAAGAAGAAGAAGAAGAAGAGGAAGGCGAATCATCATCAGAATCGGCCGTAGAGCCAGAAGGGCTTGAAGACATCTTTTCTTGGCGCTCTTTGTCGTACTGATTGGCGGTATGTCGAGAGAGGACTTGGCGCACATCGTCGCCAGTGATATCATCGAGGCGGTAGTTAAGGTCACCAAACCAGAAAGTGAAATCTTCATCTCCTATTGCTTCGCCCGATTCGCCCGATCCGTCATCCTCGGGCCAAACCGCGTCAAATCTAGCACGCTGGACAATCTGAGAAGAGTCCCAGTTGCGTCTCTCCAAGCTGCCTTTGTCAGACCCAGCTGCGAGATGACAGTTGATAAAGACCAAACGGGTGGTTTCGCCCAGGACAATGCGCGTTGCCACAGCGCCTTTGTTTCCCATGTACCCCATCAGTCCCGTACCGACAGATGTACTACTGACAGAAGCAACACTGTCTCCAATGGCGGGCGACACATATATCAGAAGCAACAAGCCGACCAGCTGGACTTCAGATACTAGCTTATATCCCCCGGGTAGCGCTTTTTCCACAGCTTCCTTCCACCGCTTGGACGGTGTGAGGTCAACATATGGCCGGAACGCTTCTGTTGGAGAAGAGATATCGACCACTTCCTGCAAGCCCAAGACGTACAGGTCTACCTCCTCGGGACTGTAGTGAAAAGTTACTTTTTTATCGCTGTCTGATTTTGGCTCGTCGGGCTTGCTGGGCGAATCGGATTCTGGCTCGTGCGCGTAGTTTGTCCCAGAGAACTTCGGGCACACCCCTTCTCCCTGAACAAACCACCTTCCAACGTCCTTCTCGGTGTCGGAGATGCCGGCTACATTCCACGTGCCGACCTTGACTCGGATCGATCTCCGGCGTGTGTACTCGGCTTTCCTTGCTCTGATCGCGCGTGAAAGTGACAGAACGTCGAGTCCTGACTTCTTAATTTCTTCCGTGTATTCGGCCTCGTGGCTCTTGTGCTCTGATGCGGATGACGGTTGCGATTTAGGACTCATGGTGTGTGATTGTCTGTGAAATCACAATATAAAGCTTCTTTGCCTCGCTTGGCTATGGTTGGAGGTTCAGTGGGGTAGCAGTATGTAGCGTGATGTATGTATGAATGTGTGCGCTTGCGCGGTCCTTAATTCCGGCAAGGGAAAATAGGGTATGAGTGTTGTTGCAGTAGAAGAACGAAGCGGTAATGAGTACCATAGGATAAATAGAAGGAATTGAGCGAATTGAGCGAATTGGTTGTATAATGCGACAATGGCTCATTTCATCAGGTGTCATCCCACCAAGGTTTAGAAGGATCGGATCCTCATCACGCGAAATTTAGGGAAGGAGATATGCCGAGACCAATCAGAAAGGAATCAAATATATGCCAGTACCCAATTACCTTACATGAGGTTCAAAAGAGAAGAGGCGCAAGTAGAGAGTAGAGAGAAAGTAGAAAGTAGAGAGACGCCGGATAAGCGCGAAGGCGGAGCTGCCATGACGATATGCCCCAGCTCCTTCCATCGTGCACAATTCCAAGGGTTCCAACAGAAAATATGACTGCACGCAAACCGCGGAGACAGAACAATCACAATCCTGTCAACCTCACCGATAATGAATCTGACGCCCCATACTACTCCGACATGCAGCAACAACCTGCACCCCCGCTCCGCTCGAACGAAGAGCTCAACCTCTCTGTTATCCGCCGCCATAAGCCCTCAGTGACCTCCATCCTCTCACTCGCCCCCTACGCAGTTGTTTACATCTTCAGCCCCACGACAAAACAATGGGAAAAGAACGGAGTCGAAGGAACCCTGTTTGTGTGTCAGGAAACACAGGGTGAGCTAGGCGAAGATCGCTATACTGCCTTCGTGGTAAACCGCCGCGGGTTGGACAACTTCGATCTCCCTCTCACCGAGGGGGAGAATGTCGAAATTACAGAGGAATATGTGATTCTCAAAGCCGAAGAAAGTGCCGAAGGCGAAGCTGGACAAAATGGCATCGCCGACCCCTTGCACCCCCAGAATTTGTCCAAGAACCAAACCGGCACAAACAACGTGCGCATCTACGGTCTCTGGATCTACTCAGAGCCGCCGCCAAACTCCACCGCGGAGAGTCGCACCATAAATGCCCAGATGATTCTCGAGTGCGCCACCCACGCGGGGGAGAGCATGAAGCTAGCTCGCGAACGTCTCGAGGCTATGCGCCAGACTAGCTTGCACGCCGCAGCAATGGCGGCTTCCACACAGGCACCTCCGATGGAGGAACTACAAACTGGGGTGCCTATGGGACGTCATATTTCGCTGCAAGACATGTTTGGTCAGCAGCGCGCCCAGGACGATTCTTGGAGTGTGCGCGCACACCATCTAGGCCCCAATCAGCACCCGCAGCAATACCCACAGCAATCCAGCTATCAACACATGGTGCCTCACCATCCTACTCCCCCACCGCAGCCGCAGTCCGATGTGCTAGGAGATTTATTCCGGAGAGCAGGGCTAGCTCAACAAGGCAACAGCAATGGGCAGGGGCAGGGGCAATAGAGTGCTGAACATTCCTTCGGCCGTCAATCATTTGTACATGGCGTCTAGCTTTATGATTTATTGTATATTTGAATAGCTTTGGGCTCTTTTTCATTCTGATGGGAATGGGCGTGGCGTAGCGTCTCTTGAGATACCCGTTACAATCTGCGCCAAAGGCGAAATTCATTGTCTTTATGTAGTTCCTGTCTATTCTATGCATAGATTGTAAAAGCCATAGCCTCTCCCTCAAGCCACAATCTGCCCAATCATCCCCGCCACTTTTCGTGCCATCACATCACTGTGTTCTATAAACTGTCAGCAAAGCTACATATCGTAGTCAAAGTCGATTGAAATCCACTTACTCAAACAGAAAGCATGTGGCAAACCCTCTTCACAAACAACCATAGTCGGCCCAGCCTGTCCTCCCTTCCGCCCACGCACCGCAACAATGTCATCCCTCGTCTGATCAGCCACCCAGTGATCATTACGACCAAAATAGAAAAACAGCTTTGCGATAGGCTCACGCGCCGATGCAGCGCCCCAGACATCATCACTCCATTTATCCGAAGTGATAGTCCGCATTTCATCAGCAGCCATATGTCTAGCAGCCGACGAAGAGTAATTAGATAAAGCCTAAACATAGCAAGAAAGAATATCACACATACAAAGCTTGTCGTACCCCACCGCGACTCTTCAGAAAAGCACACGTAGCGTCCAAAGCATGAGCAGGGGGATCGTTCATGACGAGCCGGACCACATATCGAAGAAGCGATGTCGGGAGCAGGAATGTAAGTAGTCGGACGAAGAGACTGACCACCACCGCAAGACGGGGAATGATTGAAAGTAGAGTCTACGTAACCGAGCCGGGATTAGCAACAAGCGAAGGAAAAGAAAAGCACAAGCATCTGGCAAGAGGCGTATTATGTACCGTCAATTTCTGTCCTGAAGGCGACGCAGCGATATCCTTGACAGTCGGGAAGAGCATTGCTCCGCCGATGATATCGAAGGTGCTTTCTGGGCTCGCTTCGCGGTGTCGTCTTAGGATTTCCATGGCGATATATGCGCCAACGGAGTGTCCGATCAGGATGACTTTCTGTCTAGCTCCAGCATCCACGGTAGCTTTACCGTTACCATTGCCGCTTCTTTGGTCTCCCATTAGGGCAGCGAGCTTTCCCTGGACAAAGCGTATCTGACCTTCTAGATCGAGATCAACGCCATTGTTCGGTGGCGGCGAGGGCTGGTGTTCGTCAATCTCAAAGCCGCTGAGAGATGAGCCGTAGATTTGGAATGATTGTAAGCTTGGTGAATTTTCCTCTTCCTCGCCTAGATACTTCGAAAGTAGAGAGAGGAATGGGTGGTAGTAGCCGATCAGACCCGGGTTGCCGGAGATGAAGAAGATTGTCGTCTTTGGGTCTGATGGAGAACCTGTGGTGGTGAGAAAGGTATTTGAGGTAATTTCGGATGCCATTTTTGTTCGGCTTGTCTCATGGAATCTGCTGTAGCGCGCTCTTATCCAGGGTATATAGATGGCTACGGGGTCGTTGGGTGGTCTGGCCTCGGTTAGTGATTGTCCAGATAGATAATATAAGACAATTGAAGGAGTATAATTACACGAATTGTACCCTTTTCTATGTATTCTTTGTGTATATGATTACTCCGGGGTCGTTGAATGAATCGCGCAGGATTGATGGGGAGGTGAAGTCGGATTTGGCTGGTGGATCCAGGCACTCTACATCTATGGAGTAGAACCACCAATGCTAGCCCCTCGACCACCCGAAAATATATGATACGTTTATAAAGAAAGCAGAAAAGGAAAAAGAAAAAGAACCACGGAGAGAGATAATCCCGGGCTCTATGGGTATTTTGATAGTGGTAGGTGTGCAGGCCGTATCTACGGCACTAGAAGATAATTCCAGGTAACGAACACCATGAAAATGGCAGGATACTGCAACGACTCCATCCGCGGATGCATGGTCCTCCACCGGTCGATATCTAAGCCCGACCAGGAAAATAAAAAGAATAGACACCGCAAGGCTAGATCCAATGCATTGCCCAGACGCCATGCCATGTACAACATTCAACTAGACGCTAGTTCAGGCCAGAGAAGACAAGACCACTGGAAAACAGATGAGGGATACCCCGAAGAAAGAAAAGGAGCAAGAAGAAGGGGCATGGGCATCGCCCAAAGAACAGCAAGAGATGAAACATGGGAAATCCCGCAACCAAATGTGGTATTTAGGTCATGAAAAAGGATACTTAATTCAAAACGCCTGGCTTATGAGGTATTCATCCACCCTCGTTACCCTGACTATCGTCACGATTCTCCTTCTCGTAAATCTCGCTCGTCACCTCTGTGCGGGTTGTGTCAGTTTCTGAAATGGGCGGTTTGGCCGTTGATCCAATGTTGATGGCGATTCTCTTAGGCGCCGCGCTGGTGACATTATTTAATACACCCGGTGAGGCATTCTTATCTGTCAGTGATCCGGCAGATAAACTCTTTTTCCGATTCATGTTAAAGGCGCCAGAATTGCTGCTCGTTGAACTTCTTCGTTTAGGTCCCGCGGTAAGCTTGCTAAGCTCATCATCATCTTCTTCCTCACGGCGACGTTTCTCTGCAAGTCGCTCCGGAGGGTTCTGTGTGGGTGGTGATGCAGGAACCTCGGTGGAAGTCTCGGTTGGACCGACCACTGGCTGTTGCCCTGCCCCTTCAGGTTTGGTGTCCATGATGTCCTCCTCGTCGTCATCTGGGTAGTCAACCAAAGGTTTGACAACCGCAGAGGCGGATCCGCTTGGAGGTTCATCCGCAGTAGCCACACGGTTCTGTGCCCACTTCATCTTGTCTTGTCAGTCGTATTCTCAAATTGTCTCAATCCAAGTGCTACTACCTACCTCATCTTCATCATCGGACGTGTTGAAATAATCCTCTTCCGCGGGATCCATCTCTCTTGCACCCTGCCAGCGCTGGCCATTGAGAGGAATTCTCCGCGGAGCGTTACTTTCATCCTGACTGAACAGTGTCGCATCGGCTTCGGCTCCGTAACCCTGCATCTGGTCATATCGAAGAATTAGGCTCTGGAAGGTATCAACATAAATAATGTTCTCGAGCTTCTCGCGATATTTTTCCACCACATGGAGGATAAAAGGCTTGATGTTTTCCCGTCTGATGAACTCAAAAAGTTCAAGACAGGCCGAGTTGAGCAAGTTGTCGCGAGGCATTGTCTCGTAGACGATGTCGAGAATCAACTCAAATGTGTTATTGTGTGTCATGAGAGCTTGGTAGAAGGTATCTTGGAGGCTGATCAGGGTGCGGAAGAATTTGAGGGCGACTGTCGTCTGTATTAGCTATGGCTTCTGGGGAAAAGATGTATACTAACCGAGTTTGAGGTGTTTCTGGGGTGCCCGCAGAAGCTGTGCAACGCGGGGGGCAAGAGATTCACTCTGTATAGAGTTACGTGTGCGGAAGAGGTGTTGGCGGACAAAAAAGGTGAGGATTTCAACAAGATGCGAATAGAGGGTGACCTCTTGGAATGTCAAATCATTAACTAGACTCGAGATTAGCAAATTCTGGACCAAAACAGAAGACCTCACCACGTACGGGCTGTGCGATTTGCAAGCTGTTTAAGCGGTTGGAAAAGCCGCTTTGAGGACTCGTCAAAATGTTGCTGGACAAATGCATCAGATAAAAGGCTGTTAGTGCGAAGTTTGAAGTAATCGGGTCCAGCCCGACCAAGCGGGTCCTGCATGGGAATCTGAGGATCAAGGAGAACCTTGATAGCATCAGCAAGTTGGTTCTTGACGCCAAGGTCGGCCTCCACATGAAGAAGGTCGATCAAGGTGTCTGTTAGTGGCGTCTTTTTCTCGTTGACGGCCTTGAGCATATAGCCCCTCATCATGACTGGGTCGTGCTCCAACAAAATCACTAAGATATCAATACCAGTCGTGCGCATAGCTGGATTCAAGTGCTTGATGGCGAACGCTATCACGGCGAACAAGCCATGGTTGATAAAATTGGCGAATAATTGGGCCCGCGACGGCGCCTGCAAGTTTTTCGCGATGGAAGCACATTGGTGAAGAAACTGCACGGCGTCGTCCTTGCGCCTCTGGTCCGGATTTCTCGGGTCGAAAACTTGAAAGAGGTCTCGCAGAAAGGGCCCGTTTCCTTGAATATGATTCACAATCTCCATTTGATTGAAGAATATGAGAGAATTGAGCACTGAAAACGTCGGGTCGTCCAAAATCCGAGCCAATACCACATCTTTTAGATATTGCAGCCTCCATGTACTCCGAATCTTGCGGCGAATGATCGGGTCCTTGATCGGTACGACTTCCTTGTATCGCGATTTGTCTGCGAGGTATTGTCGATGGTTCGCTTTATGTGTAGGGAATTCAGGGTCATCTGTTTTCGTCAGTATCAATTGTATTCGCCAGGGTGAAGCCGGGTAAAGCGTACATTCCAGAGCCCCGACCACTCCGAGGATGACATGATCGGCGACGACGGTTTCGATGATGGTGTTGTCATTGAGCAAGATGAGAGATTTCATGATGTTGCACAACCGATGCAAATCGATCAAGCTCTCCAGATCCTCAGCCATTGTCACTAGCGGTACTAATTTGGCGATGTACTCGTCGCGAATGATGTATTTGGATAGCGCATCCCGACCGCCCTGTGTCATGCTCGCAGCTCGTACAATCTGTTCGATTTCGGGGAGGTTTCCAAGTTCGGGGGTCGGTAATACGATGGACTGGTAGTTATCGAGGTCGTCGGACAAAGCGTCATCTTAGAAAACAATTAGAGATGCCAGCTTCCAAACACGCGACAAACCTTACCAGCTGAAGTGAGAGTCAAGAGATGTTGTTGGACGGCATTGACAAAATCCCTTCGACGTGGTTAGCTGATGCGCGCAAAGATTTTTGTTGATTCCTCACCAGATGACCGCACAGCCTTCCGCCTCTTGGAAGCTCAGCGCCATATCCGTGCCATTCTGCTCGGTCCAAACAATCAAAGTCTCTGGATCGCGTGACAGTTAGTCAAAAAAGATCTCCAACAGCGATGAGCCGATAATGGCGGGATAGGTACCCTGTTGTTTTTGATAGCCCTCGTTCTTGGTGATCCGCGTCTCGAGCAGGACGCGATTAGGCACGTCTTCAGATTCGACAAATATGCGAGGTTCCTCCTAGTCCAAAGCAATCAGCTACTGACGATGGTGGTGATGCGCTCGGGATTGCGCGCGATGAAACATCGCACGTCCCCGGTACGCGCACAACACGCGACAACTCACTCCTAAGATCTGACCCGTGCAGAAGCCGGTTCCTCGGTCAAACCAATCATTATCTCTTAGTTCATAAACCTTCACTCGTCGGCGACCGTCGGGCGGCTGTAATTCCAGCGCCATGGTCCGGCAAGAACAGGGAAAGGCGTCTCGTCACTCCGGGCCTGATAAAAGTGCACCGGCGCGAGAGGAGAGCCAAAGGGCAGTTGGGGGTGGGGAACGGAATGAAATTAAAAGAAGGTTATCGGAGGATTGTGTACGGGTTGTTTGGAAAGGGCTTGAAACAGACGCAAAGAGGGAATGGAGGTGGAGATCCCAATGATGAAAGAGTCTGCGGAGGGGATGACGATCGGAAACAGTCCTGGTCCACCTGACGGCCTCGGCAGGTACTTGGAATATGGGAACTTGTTTTCCCCTTAAAGACCCCGGGAGTTTCGCAAGAAGCTACTTTGGAGGATGTGAAGAGAGAGTGGGAACTTCCGGGTCTTCCAGGATTCCCTATGCTCCCTGTTTATCCCTATTTCATCTCTATCATCGACGTAGGTACCTAAGGTACCTAAATATTTCTAACAACGTCCGACTATAGAGGTACCGGGCACCAGGTACCTATGGTATTGTGCACACGCGGCAGAAATATGCGATACCACTTGGAATGCAGCTTATGCTAAATCGAGACTACTTGATCTCCGTGATTCTGGTGTTCTTCCGTGATCGGCAGAGCTGGGGAATCCATTCAATGTTCTCTCTCAGGGGTTTCGGAATGGCGTCAGTCAAGATGTCATAAGGTATTTATAGTTAACAGGGTCTGACTCGTGTACAATAGAAAGCCCGTACGGAGTAATATAATTTAAGATTCATCCATCAATCTATAAATCTATAAATATGCTCTGCAAGGTCAACTCAACGCATGGATCTCCACAAGCTATGTAGGTTACACGGAAGGTACTTCGGCCAGGCTGATGCTTAGCCTGTCTCTCCCAGTACCCGCCAAGTACCAGCCACCTTGCTTGAAGCTGCTGACATAACAAGACCAGATGGACGGCCCTGTCCGCAGCACAGACCCTCACCGCCCCCACTATCCTCCCGCTGATTGGCTGTGCTTAACAGCGTGGAAGTTTCTTATCGACGATGGCCCGATCGGGAAAGGTTCCAGACGTTTTTTCCTCTTAGGCGGGTTGCTTTTGAGATTTCTGCTTCTTCATCTAAATCAACCTCAACCGGGATATCAATCCGCGAGCGACTTAGGGAGTTTTGCGCTCGTTTCATTTTCATAAAGCTCCCTTTTCTTGCTACGTTGCTTCAATCTGCAACTGGTTTGCCACTGCATTCAAAAATAACCCCGCTTTTTGAGCTCGCATCAGTCCATCATGTCTGAGTCGAAGGACCAAATCACCGTCCAGGCATCTGGTGTCGAACATGGCAGCTCTACCAATTCACTGGCTAAGGATGCTCAAACGGGTGCACAAAGTTCGAGTTCCCAGGTGGAAGCCTCCGAGTGCCCTGTGCAACCTGCGGATCTGGTCGATCAGAAGAAAGGAGCTTTTGGCTACTTTAAGACTAAAGAATTCTATATTACCGTGCTTCTAGGGTAAGAACCAGTTCAAACACTGCAGCTCAACCCTCAAACCCTAACCCAAATGCTCCTAGTCAAATTCTCGCTATTGCCAATACCTCGACGGGTACCTTCACAACGCTACTCGGCGAGGAACAATGGGCAATCCCTGCGTTCCAGACCTTCATAAACTATGTGCTACTCAACGTTATCTTTACTCCTTATACGATGTACCGTTACGGCTTCAAGGGCTGGCTCCGACTGGTATACCGTGACGGCTGGAAATGTATGCCCCAGTTTCCCCTCCCACATATCCAATATACAACGACTAACCGCTGCAGACATCATCCTTGCTTTCTGTGACGTGGAAGGCAACTACTTCATTGTGCTGGCATACCAATACACAACCATGCTAAGCGCGCAACTGATCAACTTCTGGGCCATCGTCGTGGTCGTCGTCATCTCATTCCTGTTTCTGGGTGTGCGCTACCACATCGCTCAAATAATTGGTATCTTGCTTTGTATCGGCGGAATGGGCGTCCTCATCGGCTCAGACCACATCACCGGCACGAACGGCGGAGACATATCCCAAGGCAACCAGCTGAAAGGCGACATGTTCGCGCTGCTAGCCGCGTCCTTCTATGGCCTCACCAACACGGGCGAAGAGTACTTCGTCAGCACTCGGCCAGTGTACGAGGTGCTCGGGCAGATGTCATTCTTCGGAATGATTATCAACGGCGCGCAGGCCGGCATCTTCGACCGGACCTCCTTCCACAATGCGCACTGGAACGGAAAGGTCGGTGGATATCTCACCGGGTACACGCTGTGTCTGAGTATGTTCTACTGTCTCGCTCCGCTGTTGTTCCGTCTCTCGTCGGCGGCTTTCTTCAACGTCTCCATGCTCACCATGAACTTCTGGGGTGTGATCATTGGCGTCAAGGTCTTCCATTATCATATCCACTGGATGTACCCGATTGCCTTTGTGCTGATTATCATCGGCCAGCTGATCTATTTCCTGGCCCAGAAGGTCTTGAGTGAAGCCCGCAAGCCCTGGCTTGGAGCTAACCAGGAGCGTGGTGTTGTCGGTCTCTTCACTGCCAAGAGGAAGATCGTGCATGTCATCCCTACCGCTGCCGAATTTCAGGATCAAACTCAAACCCCCGACGACACCTCAAAACACACTCCCACGGTGAATACCAGCGCTATTTGAGTGTGAATCCCGGTGGATATCCTCGTTGCTTTTTCTTTTTATCATCTTTGTGGGGATCATAGATGTGACCGAAGATCTTCTAGATTCTATGTTGTGTGCTGCGTTAGATGCCTGTCAAGAAAAAGACGATCTTGTTTACGTGCTTTCGACTAATGCTTAATTATCTCGACAATTGCTACATCTATCTTGTTGGAATTAAACTACCAATCTTTATTCGGGAATAAAATACAATTTACCCTCTATTCGAGTATCTAGTTATCTCGTCAGCGTACTCTAGAAACAACATTGAACCCCTGGTAGAGGTAGTAGGATTAAACTAAGCTAGAATAGAGATATATATCAGTGTAGCATGGCAAGACAAATCACTACCAGATTGCGAGATGAGAAGCCCTAAATAGAAGACATGACTAGTTACATATATACCGTGCCGTGAGGCCAGAGACATATAGTGCCGAACCTACACACCTGTACAGGACAAGACGCCGGCAATGAATGAGAATTCAATAGGTATGTAAAGACACAACATTCGCTTCCTGATCACGTCGAAACGAGGCCAAAACCCGTTGAGGACAAAGTAGACAGACTCCAGTAACCGTATAATCAAACCTCACCCACTCTAGAGAGAAGGGGGAAGAAAAAAAGAAAAGACAAGTAGAAGTCGAATATCCAAATCCAATAAATATCCGTTTTGAGCCTCGGTTCGCCTCCCATCTCCATATAGAGATATATAGTAAAAAAAAAAAAAAAACAGGCATTAAAATAAAGTCACAATGTGCAAGTTTCCCGTACCATCACCCCAGAATATAAAAAAGAAAGAAAGATGAAGAAAGAGACCTGTGCATCCGACATGAAAAACACCGAGAAAAATGAGACAGCCCATACATAGCCCACGAGCATCACAGATAAAGCGCCATATTTCCGACCATATTCGCACGGGCACCGACATAGCAAAACAAACAAAAAAGCAGAACAAAAACATGCTGAACCCGAGACCTCACAGGAGAAAGCGAAGCAGACATCATATCATCCAGACAGATCCAACACCACTTCCAAAACCCGGTAAACCCTGTCCCTTTTCTCCCCTGCCAAGTACATGGTAAGCCAGCACAACCCTAGTCCAATATGCAACAAGCGCCCACTTGGAGTAATGTCATCAAAAGTGGATATCTATCCCCAAACGGAAGCTTGCACGCCCAGTCCGCTCTTGGAGCTCCAGACGCCACTGCCGTTGCTCCAGCCGAGGCCAACACCACCGGCCTGGTCCTTGGTGCCAGGGGCACCGGCTGCAGAGGCCACAGCCGGGGAAGGACCGGCGGAGGAGGTGCGCTCAGTAGCGGGCCCAGCAGTAGGATCAGCGGGAGTGAAGCCGAGCCCAAGTGGGGAGGGGAGAGGGGTGATGGAGCGCTTGTTCAAGGCTTGATTGGCAGGGGGTGCAGATGTCTGGCCGGGAGCAGGACGGGAACCGATAGGACCGACGGTGCCAATAGGACCAGCGGGCTTGGAAGAGGCCTGGCGGGAGGGAGAGTCTGCGCCGGGCGACGAAGCCGAGGTTACGGGCTGCTCACCGCCGAAACTAGCGTTAATAGCGGAGCTAGGCGAGGAGGTGCTGTTGGCGCGCGAGGGCGACTGCAGGCCCGTGGTGGCATCGGTGCCAGTAGCGCCGGCCTGTGTCAGGCCGAATGGGTCCATGCCTCGCGGGGAGGATCCACGGACACCGGCGGACGACGGGGTGCCACCGCCGGCTTGGCTATCCGGGCGTGGGTTATCATCGGAGAAGGCACCGGGCGGGAAGAAGGCTGGGCTTTCGTTGCCGTACAGAGCGCGGTGCTGGCGGGCGAGGAGTTCGCGACGGCTGTCCTCGCTCACGGCAGCTGGGCTGGTGGATCGGTCGGATTTGGATGCAGACATCTCGGCGAGGAGGCCTTGAAAGGAAGAAGAAAAGTATTAAAACCCCGTGTTCAAAAGAAAAGCGAAGCAGCCAAACCAAATATATTACACAGGCCGGATACATAGATGCAAGGAAGTGAAAAGAGAGAGAAGAAAAAGCCGACGGGGGAATATAACGAGGCTCAAAAAGAAGAAGACAGAGGCTACCACGTACTTCGGTTGTACTGTTGCTCCTGGTGATAGTTGCGGAGTTCCCTCTCACGCTGTGCTGCCATCCGACGCTTCGCCTGCATCATCTGTTCCACCTCGTTGGGACGACCCTGGTACCGCTGGGAGGCATAGAAACCCTGGGCATTGCCCGCCGGGGGCATACGGTTGCCATCGAACTCGCTGATCGAATGGTGTCGCTGAGGGCCACCACCCATACGAGGGTCTGTCAAGAGACAAGTCAGAAACGCGTTCTGGGTGCCATCCGTGCCCGCAACATACCGTAGTCGGGGTAGGGCCGGCCCATCATCATGGGCATCGAATCCCGCCGAGGAGCATTCCACAACTTCCCGCTCTTGACGAGATTGTCGATCGCACGATCGACCTCTATAAAGTTAAAAAAAAAGTATCAGCACTTGTCTCCAAAAGGGTGCCCCCCAAAAAAAGTATGCCCAGGTAATCTCCACAATCGCCTCGCTTCAAAATCAACAACTTTATCCCCCATTATGCGATTCGGCTTCCGGATAAGCAATTGTAGAGATTCAAGCAGAAGTGTGTCCGTACCGTCAAATTGGGAGGAAAAGGCCGGAAGATCCTCGCGCTGCGAGACCGAACTCGATCCTGTTGTCGAATGTCAGTTTTTGCCGGGGGTCCTCGGCGTTTGATCCCATACCTGACCGGGAGGGAGGCGCCGGCTGCTCCCAAGAGACCTGGCGCGCAGCGGGTGCTTGCCAGCCCTGAGGTTCGTAGTACGAAGACATTGTCGAGATCAAAAGGACCGGAGGGTGCGACTGTTCAGGGGAGGGGGGAGATTGATCCGGTCAGAGGCGATCTGTCGAGTAAAAAAATGTGAGCGTCGATCCACAACACACACTTTTCAAACAATTCTCCAGATCTTCTTTCAACACATAAAAAAGAAACACTCGAAATTTGAGATATTTTTTTTATTTTTACCCCGGGCTCGGTAAAACCGTTCGAGGGTGTTTTTTCCGCGCTCTTTCAAAGTATCTTCAATGGGGTATATAGGGTATAGAAGAAAAAATCCCAGCCTGGAAATCGAAATAGAATCATGGCACTTACAGCAAATAAGCCTCCGAGTATTTCTTTCTACCACGAGTGAACGAGGCAGAGAAAGTCCAAAAATTGGAAGGATGAAGAAGAGAAAAGGAGAGAGAGAGAGGGTCCTATGGGGGGGTGGGTGTGTATTACCTTATGGGGGGAGGGGGTCTTTTCATAAATTGCCTTGCCAAAGAGGAAAATAGTTACATAGCGACAGTATACGGGGGCAAATAGGAGATTGTTATTTTTCTTTTTATTTATTCTGAAAGTAGGACAACACATGTTAGATACTTATCCAAGTTCTTTTGTTAGTATCTTATGTTTACAACGGTATACGGAGTACTCCGTCTGGACGGAGTATATACCCAAGTCTCTGCACATTCGACTGAACATCGACAATCCCCGTATTTGTCATTCAATGCTTCCACTTCCATTCACCTGAGCAATTCCCTTCTTTTTCCTGTACATCGAAGATCCCAAGTACGCGGCAATTCCCGGCAACCGAAGGGCTTCTATTCGTCACTGATGGGGCCGGTCACCGGAGATTGGACGGGGACACGGGGGCTAAGCGTCGAGCTTCCTCGTGTCTGATAGTTACGATTACTTATTATCCAACTATTACTGTCTGTACGGAGTATACTTGATGCTATATCTTATTGAAGGTTAATGCTCGAATCTTGGAAACCGTTAAAAACGTGGACATTGACATTGTGTTGCCCTTGTATGCCCTACGTCTTTATACTCCATTTCAGTACAATATTCAAAGATTCAACTTTCCAAGTTGTTCTAAGATTATCTTCACAATACAACCCGGTCCAAACAAGGAATTCCCTGGAGTCAACGTATGATGATGCTAACCTTGGAATCTGCAAAGGCTCTGCACTATGCAGTCAGCTTGCCAAGAACTCTCTGCCTATGGACGCCATCGGAGGCTGCAAGTGAACACTCTAGTCGCATCTGGAATTTGATCTGCAGCTCCATGGAAAGTGCGCAGAACAAACGCATGTAATGGGTATAGTCCGCTGTAGGCTGATGTAGCCTGCTGTAGCCTGCTCATTTAGAGAGCCTCGTATACATATGGTTGAAGCAGGTCCGTTAAAAGTCCCCATTGAAAGATATACTAGTAGAAACAATACCTACTCCGTACACATGGGGTAGATGTAATGCAATACTAGTCAGTACATTGCCGCTTCCAGAATACACTTTGAACGTGCTTTGACCAACTCGGTCAATTCAGGAGAGGTGGGGCAACGTCCGACGGCCATCATTTTTTACTTTGTATATTCTTCCGCAAGGTCCGCGCCCCTCTGAGTTGGATTGGCCGCTGCGATGTTCATGTATGTACTCAGCCGGCTTGACGAGCCAGTCAGCAGCCCGAGTCTTCCCCGCATGTACATGGGACCATTTCTATACGTGGAATCGGGGTGAATCGACTTTATAGCGGGATATTGCAGGTACCGAGGTACTCAAAAGATATAGAGTAGGAGAGGGATTTGCGTTTGATAGTGCAGTCGAGTTATCGGTTCCTTCAACTCTGCCCTGTTGTCTGTATAGGTTGATCCAGCAGACGCTACAGCATCAGCACTTTTCTTTAAACCCTCCGGAAAGATACAACTTACAACTAGACGATACGCGCAAGCATGCCTCCGCGTTACCCTGCGGAAGCGTAGTAACTTCCCACTCGTCATACATGCAACTGCTCTCGGCCGAATCTGGTCCTAGTCATAGAAGCCGGATGCTTGATTTTATGAAGGCCATGTTATAAGTCGCAAGCTGGAGCTGTCTTGAATCTTGATAACTAGATGTTCAGTCAGTCTTGAAGAGGGGTAGATAGTTTTACAAAGAAA